GGCAGTTACACATACAGCGGTCAAAAAATCCCTTTTTTGAAACCTGCGCGCCATACTGTAAGTTTATACATATAAACACTGGCGCGTAGTAGTAAGTGTGTTTATTAGACCAAACATAATAATAAAATTTAAAATGCCACGTCTGAAGCATGCTTAACACATCCTAAAACAGTTTTCAACGTATGCCAATTAACGACAAGAACAGTTAATCGTAAATTGCCGTGTGTGAGAGAGAAACAAAAAATTTTCCATAAATGAATTGAAATTACTAAAAAAGATTAATTGAATTTTACAGCTAAGAGAAGACTGGGAAGAAATGCGAAAAAGTGAAGAAATTTAAAGATAGTGTAACTATAAAAATAGTTTAAACTAAAAAATAGTGCTCAGAGATCGAGTTAAAGCCAGAAATTTGTATGTACCGCCAAAATGACTCGTGAATCAAAAGTAATAAAACATCTTTAGTTCAGAATACGTACTTTAATTTCCCATCCCATAACTCATAGAACGTAACAATACTTACAATATACCATAAAACAATTTTACCATGAGAACTAACTATAAGACAGTATAAAAAGTAGCTTACGATGCGGCCTATAAACTATTATTATTCAATATCATTGTTACGTTACGTCGAGAAACAAAGAAAAATCTACTAAATTGGTTCCACGTTTTGGTTTACATACAAAATAAATAATATAATTTTAGACAGAATCCGCTTTTCATTTATTTTTTCTAAACAATATGGCGGATAGTCTACGGCTCCACAATATTTTGATGTTATCTTTTCTTAATGAGTTACTTTGTCTAAATTCAAAACTTATGTCACGGCTTATATTTCATGATACGGAAGAGAACAGATAAAACAGTTTTTTATAAGCTTGATTCATCATCTGTGGATAATATTGAAATAATTAGCTTGCATCTGTTATTAGCGTTTGAAACAATTATATACAATGAAACATTTATAAATAATTAAAAATATTATGTATTATCATTATAAATTACAAAATACAACCAAACATACAAAATATTAAGCTGTGATGTGACGCGACGCTCCCTCATCCTTACCTACCATAATACTCGTACAATGTACATACATATTACATAACTAGCATTGCCCGCGGCTTCGCCCACGTTCAGATGACCAAAAACCAAATTCTTAGATTTTACATAGTATACTCTTACATTGCAGTTTTTGTATTTTTTCTCAGAAATCAGATATTTTCCTGCGGTAAAAAGTATCCTATATGTTGACCCGGATAACTAGCTATCACCATACCAAATTTCATCAAAATCCCTCCAGTGGTATTTCTGTGATGCGGTAACCGACAGACAAGAATTCTAAAAACTATAAATTCGGCCTCTGTATCGATAATAATGTCTATTTCAATAAGATTTTCCAAAAAATATTGAATGTACAGATTCGGCTTAGTTACAATTTTATTATATGTATAGATATGTATTTATACATATGTATGTAACGTTCCCCCTTTAAATTTTTTATAATAAAACAGTCCATTACATACGCACAAAATATTCTTACAAGCGCAAATTTAAAGTTTCATAACTTTTTAATTTGTTGACATATTTCAATATTTAATTCTTTCATTTTTGGTGTATATTTTACTTCATATTTTATAATTAATACAAAAAAATTGGAAACTTTTCCATTACCTATAAACTTTCGTAAAATTTACTAGGAAGTGAGGATACTTGATAATTTCTCTTACAACCTTCATAATGCCTACGCAGTCAATGTTTGTTAAGTATAACGTTGAAAATAAACACACGTTATCAAGATTTCTTTGAAATATATTTTCATCTACGACGACGAGACGACACGTTTGGCTCAGTTTGTAGTGATCCTACTTGCTGCGCCCGCGGTCGCGGATTCGAGTCCCGCTGGGGCATTCATTCGTGTAATGAGCACAAATGTTAGTACTCCAGTCATATTTATAATATTATGTATGTATTTAAAGTTATATATGCGTAGTGTATCAACTATCTAGTATCCATAACACAAGCCTCGTAGCTTACCATGGGACGAGATGGTGCTGTGTGTTAATGCCCCAACATATTTATTTATTTATTGAGAAATAAGAGCGTGAAATTATTAGATAGCAATTCTAGGTTAATAATAAAACTAATTATACTTTGTACTTGAATGTTTACTAATACGAAATGTCATTAAGTGAGAAAAACTGTTCTTAATTTTGTCTTAATGTTTCTAAGATAATCGTGACTAAAGCATAAACAATTTACGTAGAAAATGTTATAGTATCTATTTATTTATTTATTTATTTTTATATTAATAAATCATTATTCATTTAATAAAAAAAAATAAAAAAAATATTGAGGTACATTTTGAAAGATCTACGTAAATCTTGTTATTTTTTTCAAACAACAATGCTTTTTTATTTTATTTTAATATATAGCTACTCAGTACAGAAAATATATTATGAGATTACAAAACAATTAAACTACAACACTTTCTTTGGCAATACAACTTTAATAAATACAATAATTTATTTAAAAACTTAAATTTAAACATGGCAAGTGGTTATAAACATATATTAACTATACTATATTTAATATCTTCCATATATGGTCACAGTGAAGTTGAATCCACTACCCCTTTGACTTTTAAGCTTGATCTTCACGAATCGTTGGCCGACGCCACCAGCTAAGATAGTCGCGTAACCCCCGGTTCCATCTGTCCAGTTATCTTTTACGTAAACAGCTCTGATATAGGCTAAATTATGTTGCCCTGGTTCTGGATATTCTATAGTAGTCGTTCTCACAATTAATGGGAAACCGTACTTATGTTCAGTTACTCTATATAAAATCACGTCCCCATAGTTAGCCTGTCCAAATACTAGGTCGTGGCTTTGGCAAAAAGCCGCGGCGATGAAGCACACGAAGGAGAGCACTGTCAGAACACGCATTTTCCTCGTTCGTTCGTTTAACACTGAAGTGCTAATGAAAATGTTTTGTTTTTTATACATATTTGGATGGTTGTATGTAGGGGTGTAACAAGATTATTATTTTTATTGTTTTTTTTTGTTAGTATTTGTTAATCATTCATATATATCGTTGATATTATATTTTAAATACTTATTAAATTAATAAGAATTATGATATGATATTTCCTATTAAAAATATATTTATCGTATATTAGTTAGCCTTAACTTACATGTAAATATGGAAGTCTTTACTGAAATCTAAAATATATATCCATATTTAAGTTATAATATCTATATTTTATTAAAAATGGTAAGTAATAAAATTATAATAGCATTTTAGATGTTACAATTATTTTTTTAAACAAACAACCGTCAATACCTAAATAGTGTATAAAATTATAAGGCATAGGTCAACGCGTACTACTCTTAGTTATCACATAAACTAATAATATTAGCTTATCAAATATTTATAGTAATATATGTACATATTTCAAATGCTTTTAAAGTTTTAAATATATTATTATACAACTTACATGAGTTCATGTATGTTATTTGTCCATATTTTTATAAAAAGGAACCCCGCGGAATATAGATAAGTTATTATAAATATTTTAAAGCTTTTTTCTTTTCACTCTTTGCAATTGCATAAAGCTGACCCTGCAAACATTACAGAAGAGTCATGTATCCATCAAGACAAGACCTGTCATATGACGTGATTTTCAGTGTCGGCATTTATATGTCAGTATTTAAATAAACAAAATATACCTTATATACAATAGCTTGAATATTCCATGACTTTGTACCTAGAAATTACTCAGCTAGGTGTATATAATGTACGTATAATGTAATAATAATCTGTACATATAATAAAATTGTAACCAAGCCGAATCTGTACATTAAATATTTTTTGGAAAATCTTATTGAAATAGACATTATTATCAATACAGAGGCCGAATCTATGGTTTTTAGAATTTTTGTCTGTCTGTCTGTCTGTTACCGCATCACAGAAAAACCACTGGAGGGATTTTGATGAAATTTGATATGATGATAGCTGGTTATCCGGGTCAACATATAGGATATTTTACCCTGGGAAAATATCTCAATTCTGAGAAAAAATCCAAAAACTGCAATGTAAGAGTATACTAATATGTAAAACCTAAGAATTTGGCGAAGCAGCGGGCAATGCTAGTATATATAATAAAGCATATGTATGACTTACTACGCCGTTGTGCATTAAGGATTCTGACTAATATAGGTGTTTGTACAGTTTCATTCAATTTGAATTTGAATAATAATATTCAAAAATAATATTATATGAACAAACATAAATCTAACTTCCTTAATTTCAATACACTCATTATTGCCTTCTCACAAGAAATTATGGAAAACTGCATACAAAGAGACGAGATATAACAAAAATAATTTTTTTTCGTAGGCACTTATTTATTTCAGTTGTCTTTATTTTGGAACCAATTTAGTGTGGAATAGCTCTCTTCACTATTTATGACAGGTGACGATATAGAATTAGTTAAAAATAAAAATTGCATTTATTTTTAGTGTTTGAAACTATCATACACAATAAAACATTTATAAAAAATTAAAAAAGATTATATATCTAAAAACCTGGTTGGTTACAACACTATGTTGTACTCGAGAACTGCTGGACCGATTTTTATGATATTTATTTTGTTGGATATGAATTCACCCCGAATAGCAGAATAACTGCAAAAACTACGGAAAAATTCACGAAAAAAAAAAATTATAAAAAAAATATATACTTTTATCATTATAAATTACAAAATACAACCAAACATACATAATAAGTTAAATGCAAGTCGGACTCACGCACCGACGCTTTCTTGCCATTATACTCGTACAACCATATATGTACATACAAGTGTAATGTTAACCTATTAATTTTTACTAACAAAATATATTAGATAAGCAAAAAAAATATTTTTTTAACCGAGTAGGTACTTATATAAAACAATTATAAACGATAGTTCCATTAAATTAATTATCGCTTGTTACAGTAACATGGGTCTTCTCGAGTTTGAAGAATGGACTAACCAGACTGACTTATTTTCTGATAAGTCCAGGATGTGTGCTAAACTCCGGGGTTTGACTCCCGGACAGCGCAGGGTGTGTAGACGACATAAGGACCACATGCCCGCAGTCGGGGACGGCGTTAGGCAAGGGATACAAGAATGTCAGTACCAATTTAAGGATAGACGTTGGAACTGCACCGTTACTGAAGACACAACTGTCTTTGGACCACTAACTTTGATTGGTAAGTTTAAATAGAGTTAGAAAAACTTTTTTTTAATATCGTTAAAAAAATATACATCCATCCATCATTACAAATGTGAATGTGTGTGTGTGTTGCTCGTTCACGCTGAAACAATTAAGATCTAGCCCACAAATAGATTATGACCTTGAATAACACGTACAGATTGTTAGGTTACACACATTTATATATATTCTTAGTTTAACACAAAGGGACGACTCGAGCGAAGCGAAGGTATGTCGCTTGTAATAAATTTACCTATACGAAAATATAATCGATAATCTAAAAAATCATTCAGAAAACATGTCATTTCTCAGAAATATTTCTCTATTTCTCAGAAATGAGATATTTTCCCGCGGTAAAAAGTAACCTATATGTTGACCCGGACAACCAGCCATCACCATACCAAATTTCATAAAAATCCCTCCAGTGGTTTTTCTGTGATGCGGTACACACAGACAGACAGACAGACAGACAGGCAGACAGACAAAAAATCTAAAAACAAAAAATCTAAAAAATTCGGCCTCTGTATCGATAATAATGTTTATTGCAATAAGATTTTCCAAAAAATATGTAATGTACAGATTCGGCTTAGTTACAATTTTTTATTATATGTATAGATTTCGATCTTCAATTCATATAAAAACGTACATTTCGTACAACACATATAGCTCTTTCAGCTAGAAAGTAACAACAAAACTTATGCTATTAATACTGTTCCCGAAAAAATTGTATAAGATTTATCAAAACATCGCCTATCAAGATAAAGTGACCATAAATTTGCGTAATCGGAGGCCAAAGTATTCGTTAGCATACTGTATACAATAAAAGTATCGTAAAAACAGTTTATTATGCATATAATAAAAGGTCATTTCAGTCCTCTTTTATATATCGTATAAGTGTTTATTTGTGCTTAATAATAAAAATTCACTAGCCTTGTAATAAGGTCTTGGAAAAGCTGAGAATTTTGTTATTTTTGTTATGTACATAATATATAATATATAATATACATATATTGAGTATTTCGTTTTTTTTAACAGTAGCAGTTTGGCTTTATTTAATACCCGACACAAAACTTTTTTTTAACGTTGGGAAATGCATTTAGGCACGATGTGGGGATTCACCGGCAAAGCAAGTACTTCCCACTAAAACCCAACGGAACCCCGTCTTAATGGGGCGTCGCAGGAGCGCTTACGCACTCAACCACGACGCCCCGACGGCAGGTCTGCCGAAGCAGACCACAACAACCATGGGGTTGCTCCTCAAACAGTCCACTCTGCCAGAGTAGTACCAGGAGCAACCCGCATAGCACACCCCCCACCGAGGTGGGCCACCTTGCAGTGCGTTTCTTGGCTTCGCGCCTGGCTTTGGATTGCCGGGCACTACTGAGCCCCCCACGTAGGGGGGCATACTAGCGACCCACGCCAGCCTCATATACCTACATATATACTTTTTTTCTTAATAGATACCTATAAGGTAAGGTCCACACCTTGGAGCAACCCCGTGGTTGTTGTGGTCTGCTTCGGCAGACCTGCCGTCGGGGCGTCTTAGTTGAATTAAGCGATCCTGCGACGCCCCATTAAGACGGGGGAAGGTTTTAGTGCGTAGTACTGGCTTTGCCGGTGAGTCCCACACCTCTTGCGTAAATGCATTTACCAACGTTAAAAAAAAGGGTCGCTAGTATGAACTTATAAAAAGTTATTCAATCCATACATTAAAATTGCAACCTTTGCTAATTTATTTAAAACCTTTTAATTAAAACATATAATACTCCAATAATAAAAGAGTTAAGAAGTTAGAAATAAAGCTAAATTTACCTTAGATATAAGTTTTTTTATAACAAAGTGTGAAAACTGTAGTGGAAAGCTCTAAATCTTCACTAAGCAACGTCGAGAGCACCAGTCGACGCGAGCTGATTTATAGCGCTCGACTCTTGCTCTTTTGCTCTTTTTTCCATAGTGTAAACTTTTATTTGTTCGATTCTTGCCAGAACACTTTATTTCTACCCTTGGATTTTAATCTTTTTGAACTTGGGTGGCAAACATTTAAATTTCTTGTATATATGATATCATCCCTCATCATGGGTGAAATGGGTGAAAAAAACGGCTCAATCAAATGTAATGCTCATGGATAAAATAACTTCAATAAAAGACAATTTTAAGATTCGTATAATTCGTTTGGCAGATTTAGATGGCATCCTATATAGACAAACAAATAAAATGTTACTGTTTCATAATCTATAGAGATAAATAAAATTGAAGTGTCTGTTTGTTATGTTAAAATAATAATAGGTTTTTATAAAAAACGAAGTACTTATAAAAAAACACAATTTTGAAAATTTTTATCTATCTTTCTGTGTGTCTGTTTGATTGTTCCGGCTAATTTCCGAAACGGCTGGACTGATTTTGACGGGACGTTCACTGGCAGATAGCTGATGGTATAAGGAGTAACTTAAGCTACGTGTATATTAAAAAAGGAATTAGAGTTCCGCTTAAAAAAATTAAAACGTTCCTAGGGACGAATCCGAGCGAAACGAGAATAAGTCGCTAGTATTTCATATATTTGTAACACTCACATTACTTTAAAACTTAAGTACATAATTTAAAAGATGCTTGACTGCATTTGAGTTAATCTCAAATGATTCCGTAGAATGAAATGAAGGAGGTTTCATAATAGTAATATGTTTGGATTGTATTGTATTCAGCCCTTTTTAACGTCCCACTGCTGGGCACGGGCATTCCTTTACTACAATACGAATCAGGCCATATTCCACCACGCTGGCTAATACCGGGTAAGCGGACTACCGTGCGAAGCGGTTTCCTCACGATGTTTTCTTTCACCGTAAGACAAGTGGTAATCATGTTGGAAATGATTCGCACATTAAAAAATCAGAGACCATTGAATTTAAAAATACATTTATCTATACTAGAAAATCTAATTGAAATAGACATTATTATCGATACAGAGTCCGAATGTATAGTTTTTAGATTTTTTGTCTGTCTGTCTGTTACCGCATCACGAGAAAACCATTGGACAGATTTTGATGAAATTTGGTATGATGATAGCTGGTTACCCGAGTCAACATATAGGATACTTTTTACCGCGGGAAAATATCTCATTTCTGAGAAAAAATACAAACACTGCATTGTAAGAGTTTTTATTTATTATAAGCGTAAAACTTAAGAATTTGGTTTTTAGTCATCTGAACGCGGGCGGAGCCGCGGGCAATGCTAGTTTATTTATAAAAAAAAGACAACTGAAATTATGCAGATATATAAATGGCTTTTCTTTAAAATTTCTTAAACCTATACATACACATTATACAATATTTTTAATACATTCATTAAACATTCCACAACACAAGTCAATAAGATAGACTACACGCGCGTACTAAACATACTGTAAAAGAAGATGGTGACCAAAGTGAAAAGAATCCTTAAAATTTCTTTTTCATTTTATCCTTCTACGTTGGAAATAGGTCGAGATATTTTACTGAAACCATTCCCAGGATACAGGAAGCAAAAAAAAAACAACAAAACGGAGTAAGTCGGTTAAAATATATGCGTGATATATTATTTGTTTATTATTTATTTACTTTTATGCGAAAATAATAAACACGAATACGTTGTATAAGATATAATACTTCTAATACGACGTAACATGGGATATATTATACGTAATAATTTTATTATTTCTGGAATAACTTGTTGTTAAACGTAGTGTGTGACCTTGGATAGCACAAATGGGAGGATACGAGGGTGTTTGGAACGCACACAAGCAAAATGAGAGTAATTCGCTAGTATAATTATAATTATGTAATTTCTTTTTTTTCAGCATCTCGAGAAACAGCTTTCACCCACGCAATAACGGCCGCGGGGGTGTCTTTGGCTATATCCCGCGCGTGTCGCGATGGAAGGCTCTCTTCTTGCGGGTGCAGTCGCGCGTCCAGACCTAGACATTTACACAACGACTGGGTGTGGGGTGGATGTGGCGATAACCTCGAATATGGTTACAAGTAAGATTTTTATTGGAAAATAAATATTCAATAATATGAATATTTAGTAATATATTTTTGTTTTAATATTTCTCTATACTAATATTATAAAGAGGTAAAGTTTGTGAGTTATAAGATTGTGAGTTCGTGTGACCTGGTGACACTTTCAATTTCAATTAAGTAATAATAAAAATATTATATATAAAAATATATAGTATAAAACAAAGTCGCTTTCTCTGTCTCTATATCCCTATGTATGCTTAAATCTTTAAAACTACGCAACGGATTTTGATGCGGTTTTTTTAGTAGATAGAGTGATTCAAGAGGAAGATTTTAGCATATAATTTGTTAAGTTTTTGTATACATTGGCTAAAATATAACGATATTTGTTGGAGGTGTCGGAAAAAATAAGATGTCTGGAAGCTTTCAACGAAAACGCTGCCTAAACCCTTTGAGATATAACAAAATAATGTATGGTGGAATTGTGTATCTTATATAGGTCTACAGAAAAGTCCGCAATGGCATATGTCTATCTCTTAAGGATAACGTACTATATCCATTTTAATTTAAAACGTACCTAGGGACGAGCCCGAGCGAAGCGAGGGTGAGTCGCTAGTTTTAATTATAAAAAAATAAAACCATCATGAACTAGAATCTATAAAAATAACCTCTCAAATATCCAAACAATACAATAAGCCCCGCCATTCCTAAATCCCGTTAAATCGTACTAGAAACTATAAACACATCCAACGTTTTATGTTACCCTTGTAGCTACAACTATGTTTCAACTAGATTACTACAATTTTTCTAGAATAGTATTTGTATACTAAAGTAGAGCTTTTTTAATTCATGCATCCCTGATCCAAAATTATTATTTTATTGAAATCGAGCAATCTCTTTCAAAACTTTTATATGTTCGTGCTACCCTGGTACAGTACGATTGGAGCAAAGAACCTTAATCTTTCTTCCTCTTCCTACAAAATATATGTATGTGTGCAGAGTCAGAATAGTTTTTATTTATATTTAAAGAGTCTACTCACTGTTTTTTACTTGATCGATTTATTTATTTCATAACTAACTTTATTTAACCATTAATCGACTATAGACATCGATTAAAAAATAACTTTTTGATCGATGGCTATAAGTTACAAAAAATGCAAAATATTCTGCCAATTTCTCTTTTATCAATCAATTAATTATTCGGTTTGGTGACATAATAAAAAAAAGGAAAACATATTTAATTTAATTAATAAAAAACGTTAATTAATCTCTCTCTCGTTCTGTTTACGTCTCTAGAATGTAATTCCTAAAACTCACCTGTTGTAGAAAAAAAATAACAAATAAAACACGAACAGGTAAAACTACCTGTCTTACCTCGTACCTGTGTACTAGGATATCAACAATGCATAGAAGGAATATTATACCTGTCGTTTCACACCCACATAGACGTGCAGTACAATACTACATTGTCGTTAGTATGTGTGAAAAAGGGCGGAGCTTAGCTTTTCCTCTTTTCTCTTATGCTTTTCTTCTATACAACTGTAAGAGAGGGAAAACGACAGTATATTTCTATCTCTTTCTTTAAAACCTTTCATAGTGTGCGCGAGTTTTCACAGTAGTTGTTGTGTGATTTTAACCTGCTCCAGTTAAAAAGTAAAGGTAAAAGGTATATCCTGCCATCCTCTTATATCCTAGTACTCAGGTGAGATGTAAGACAGGTGAAAAATTCACCTGTTCCTCTTATCAGAATGAGGCTGGTTTTATTTAAGTTAATTGTTGTTGCTTGCTACCTTTCCATAGATATATATACCTTTATTTTAATTATTTATTAATAATAATTAATGTACATTTATGTAATTATCGCAAAAAAAATTTACAATATTTTCAAATTAGACTTAAGTTTATTTTTTATTTGGAAAATCAATAATAAAAAAATAATTATAATATCCAACATGTACCTAGTTACGTTTAAAATTGAAACAACAAGAAAATACGTGACAGTCATAAGTCAGCTGTCAAAATCGTTTCACGAGTGTCAAGCCATGGTTTAAGACAGGTTCGGTACCAGGGGGTCAAAGCATCGTAAGAGCTTTCAGAATATCAGGCTTAACATAAAGGTGCAAGTCAAGTCAAGTCATATTAGTATAAGAATTATTATTTATATTTTATTTATAAATACTAGCGGCTCACCCTCGCTTCGCTCGGGTTCGTCGCTAGGTACGTTTTAAATAGATATAAAAAGAAAAAATCTTTCTTTCTCACATTTTAATTATATGTTTTAATACTTACCTATTCCGGACTAAGAGAAATCCAAAAATTAAAATATCATAAAAATTTGAACGCGGTCGAACGGGATAAAAAGTATCCTATGTCCTTCTCCTGGCTCTAAACTACCTCCCTGCCAATTTTCAGCTAAATCGGTTCAGCCGTTCTTGAGTTATAAGCGAAGTAACTAACACGACTTTCTTTTATATATATAGATTATTTATAAAACGAATGAGAAATGAGTAAATTATTGTTAATTTATAGGAATTTATAATTCACTTTATAAATCTAAATCAATAAAGTACCTACCTTTGAGAAACTAACGCATTTAGTTTTATTTAATTAATAAAATAAATATTGTTTAACATATAAAACATTTATTATAATATACATACATATATCTTGCTGTAATTTTTTTAAGAGATCAAAATTTCCAGGCATTAAAAATTATCTAGGTATTGTATCAACGTATCCTGCGTCAGTTTTCTCGCGTAGTTTTGTAAAAATATTTTCTGATAAATTAAAAAAAACTATAATATTTTTGATAGATAAAAAATTTATTCTACTATATAAATACAGAATAAACAACCAGAACAAATAACAATTCAGTCTGATACGTCCATATCGGTCGAAAGCTTTAAAAAATGATAGAAAAGGATGGCTAGATAATAAACGTAAACCGTAACTTAATAACAGCAATAAAAACTTTTTAATGAATCCCATTTACGAAAAAACATGAAATTTTCTGCATATTTTGTATCTATAATACCAGGAAAACAAAAACATCAAGAAGGTAGCCGACTCTCACATGAAAAAATATTGTAGAGAATTTTGAACCTTATTTCTATTAACTTACGAGCTATGTACTTGAAAAGGCTCACACAGACTTGAATACGCAGGCCTTATAAAGAAAGGAATTTGTTCATATTTCATACCACTCAGTTTCTACGAGAAATGCTACGAAGACATTAAAGGCAACGTCACCACACGTTTGAGGTTGTATTACCAGGAGAGTAGGAAGCGTTAGGAGGTTGGCAAATAACAACCTACGCTTTCCACTGAAGCTCCTCCCTCCTCCCTCATACCATTTCTTTGCAAATAAGGTGGCTATACGTAAAATATCCAATAGAAGCTTTTACCTGTTGAATAATTGTTTTATTTTTATAGTAATATTCTATAGATATATTTTTAATCCTAATAAGCTACAATAGAATAAAAATGTATTTTTAATAAATATTTCAAAAAATAATTACATTTAAAAGTTTTCCAAATATGTATAAAGCGTTAAAAAAAATTATATATGCGGTCGGGGGGTTCAATTCCGAATGCATTTTGATATGAAGTGTCTATTGGCACACTACACGGAATATAAATCCTTTAGCATGGGAACCTTTAGAAGCACGGATAACGTAAATATATATAAATAGTACATAATTAACAGTCAAATAATATTAAACGTATGAAAACAGAAAATACTTGTATCTAAATATAAAATTTGATTAACTTACTTTTCTAAGTTGGTATTACACACTTGCTGCAGTTTCCATTTTTTATATCTCATTTACAAGATTGCAATAATCAGACAATATGATTCACTTTTAATAAAATTGTTCTAAACTATTTATCAATGCATTGGAGAATGACTGTAAGTCGCTCGATTGGTACTAATAATGTGATAAAGGCATGTTTTTTTTTAATTAATCATTTTTATACTTACTACTTCTTTCGATATAGCTAAGCATACATATATGTATGTATGTATTCAGCCCTTTTTAACGTCCCACTGCTTGTCACGGGCCTCCCTTCAGTACAAAGGGAATCAGACCACCACGCTGGCTAAGTACGGGTTGGCGGACTTCACATGTCTTTTGAAAACTTACTAGGTTCTCTCAGACATGCAGGTTTCCTCACGGTGTTTCCCTTCACCGTTAAGACAAGTGGTACTCATGTTGGGAATGATTCGCACATGAAAATATCAGAGGTGCGAGATCCGTGATTTGAACTCGCTTCACTCGGTTTCTCAAGCGAGCGCGTTACCACTGGGCTACCACTGCCTTGATATACATATATACTCGTATTTGATTTAATTGAGAACAATCGTCGTAATTAGACGGTGGATTATTCTTTGACCTTCCACATAAAAATTGATTCCCGTGCACGGCTTATCTTTATTTACAGTGTATACGTTAATGTAACAAATAATTGTAGAAGTAAGTAAGAAATCTATGAAGGAATATGTGAAAGGTCAGGGAGCCCTGTTTACGTAGAGCGGGTATCGAACAGCAGTGTGAGGCACACACCGCCCTGTATTAAAGAAAATTCATTACTGCGTAGTTTTTATTGTACATATTAAGAGTTCAATATTAAGTTTTAATGAGCTTTATACGTATTAAAAAAGTATTTACTCTTATATTACAACATCATTATTTCGGTTTTTTTTCCGATACCTTATCTATAACCAACTTTTTTTTATTCTCACTTGTTATTCTAATTTATTGTTTTCCGGTTATACAAAAACATGGTACATATTTAATTTGATACTAGCGACTTAAACTCGCTTCGCTCGGGTTGTGTATACATACTATACATTAGTTGGTATACTATAGTAATACTATATTACATTGGTTGTGTATACTATAGGTGGTTATGTGGGACTAACCGGCTAGAAAAGCCAGTACTACCCACTAAAACCCAACAGAACCGCAACTCCTACCGCATGCTCGTTAAGGAACTTGTTTCAAAAACATTAATTAAATTTCAATTAAAATAAAAGTAGGTACTAATAAATTATAAATATTTATAAGTATTAAAACATAGTAATATAGAGTCTCTCCCGTGACCATGATTGCTGTAAAGCAATATATACGATACGTCAGGAACCAAAAATCAAATTAAATTCGCGAAAAATCCGAAAAGATAATTTTATTTAAAATGTCAAATATTCGCGTAAATCTAAGAAAGTATTATATAATAATATAGTTCTAAAATCGATCGAAGATCATCAAATATAAAAAAAAAGTACATCTAGAACAAAGTTTAACTTGGAATTTCAGTCCGCCCCGAGCTTCCGACGCGAGATCACGTCCGAATGCGCTCTAACATCGCAAAACACGCGGCTTTGCAAAAATTCAAGCCTGCAAATACCAGGACCTCATAACGTACTAGTAGTAAGATTACACAATACACTAGTGTGCGTACTATTTACGTAAACACTAGTGAGGTACGTTTGTATGCGCAGGGGTAGTCTTGCTTTTTATTGGGGGTAACTTTTTAAGATTTTTATCGTCAATTTTAAAAAGAGCTTTTCCGATATTTCTGTTCTTTGAATTTTCTTTACGCGGAGAACAAGGTCGGGAGGAGGTTGGGAATGATCGGAATTTCACTTGTGAATAACAAAAGGACGCCGTCCGGCGAAAAATGCGGTCTTTTACTTCATAAAGGAGATTTTCCCGCATTCGAGCATGTTCCTCACCAGGCAACCATCGTATTAGAGGAGGTCTAAGGAATGCGTCAAACATTTTAACACCGGTTACGGCAAGTTTTTAAAGATCCGTGTAAACCGGCTGAAACTTATTCACGTTAATCCTTACAATGACTGTTCATTCTAACTATTGCATAAGAACATTTTAAATAAAACTTTCTTTTCGGATTTTTTCGCGGATTTATTTTGATTGTTGGTTTCCGAAGTTTCGAATGTTTTACAGCAATCATCGTCTTTTCCGTGACCATGATTGCTGTAAGAACCAAGGTTTTATTAACCGACTTCCAAAATGGAGGAGATTCTCATTCCGTCGGATTTTTTTTTAAATGTCAAATATTCGCGTAAATCTAAGAAATTATTATAATGTATATTCTATATAAAAGTGAAAGATAATAATAACAATAAATATTTTGAAAATATTTTTACTGTTTTAAGTGTATTTTTAAAATATACTGTAACCACAGATCATATAATACCATACTAGCTATAACTAAGTATCATCATTCACTTTTTTAAATAACTACTAGGCAGCATTACAATAAAACATTATTTTCACCTAAAAGTTGAACATTAAACTCTAATTAATTAAAAAATCCTAAGCGTCTTTTAACAATTTATTTTTATTATTTTACAATTAATAATTTTACACGTACGTACGTACGTAATATAATTTTACATACGTAAAAAACTATTTTCACATATATTACCCATTAATTTTCATATTCAAATAACACTTCTGTATAAATATTATAAACTAGCATTGCCCGCGGCTCCGCCCGCGTTCAGATGACCAAAAACCAATAAATGATAATAATGAACACTTTATTGCACACCACACAAGAAAATAAATAAAGAAGTGAAATACATAACAAAAAAAGATGCACAGCAGGCGGCAACTAAATTCTTAGGTTTTACATATTAGCATATTCTTACATTGCAGTTTTTGTATTTTTTCTCAGAAATAAGACATTTTCCCGCGGTAAAAAGTATCCTATATGTTGACCCGGTAACCAGCTATCATCACACCAAATTTCATCAAAATCCCTCCAGTGGTTTTTCTGTGACGCGGTGATAGAGAGACAGACAGACAGACAAAAAATCTAAAAACTATAGATTCGGCCTCTGTATCGATAATAATGTTTATTTCAATAAGATTTTCCAAAAAATATTTAATGTACAGATTCGGCTTAGTTACAATTTTATTATTTGTATAGACGTGAAAGTTTGTGAGTAGATGTTTGTTATTCTTCCACGCCATAACGGCTGAACGGATCTGGATGAAATTTGGCACAGAGATAGATTATAGACTGGAATAACACATAGGCTACTTTTTTGAGGCGAACCAGAGTGAAGCGAGAATGTACCGCTAGTTAAATATACGTTATATAAGTTTTACACAAACTATTTGAAACTGAAACAAGCACCGGATATAGAGAGCTGCACTAAACCCGGATAAGCCGGGTTGAACCGCGTTAAACACGCTTAAATCCGTTATCATCTACCAGGGTAGCATAGACCGTTGGGGGTATTTAATCCGGAACACACCCCGCATTCCACTTCTAAACTGTTCGATTATGAACTTTAACGCTATAAAAATACGACATTGTATATTTTTATAAACTTTATATTCTGAATCGCTTCGAAATGAAATATCTAAATTTTTCATAATATTATAAAATACTTTTTTATGTTAGTTATAAAATACTTTCTCTATTAAAATATTATAGGCGCGTTAAAAGTTTCAAAGTTACCATAAAAAAATAATTGATAAGGAACTCTATTACGTAATACATAAAGTTAAGTTTTAAATGATTGCCCGTGATGCTACGAATCAATATTTCGTAGAGTTTTCGTAGCAGTGGGCGTAGCCTAAATGAAAACATGAAAACTGTATTCGTTTCAGTTACTCTTATAAAATGATCAATACAAGCGTCTCTTTCTAATTTTCCTACATTTTCAATGCTAGTATTAGGTACCAGGAGCGACATAAATGTTAAAGAAACTTTTAAGCTCGTGGAAAACTAAGTGATATGTCTATAAGTCTAATGGAACTAAAACTTTTATTTATATAATACTAGTAGAACCCGCGGCTTCGCTCGCGCTAAACTACAAAAATATCATTAACTAATATAAATAAAGAAGGACAAACGAACAAACAAACAAACAAACAAACAAACAAACAAACACACTTTCAGATTTATAATATTAGTATGGATTTATTATTCTAATGTATAAGTTTGAAAACTTGAAAACTGAAAACAGCCTAAAGCCTTCCTGCAACAAATAGGCTTTCTTATGCAAAAAGAATTTTTCAAAACTGATTATTAATTCCTGATATTAGCGCGTTCAAACAAACAAACGAACAAACAATTAAAGAATTCTGCCTCTTTATAATATTAGTATAGATATATAATGTCAAATATTCGCTTAAATCAAAGAAAGTATTATTATCTAATATTTTACAGATTCACAGAAGGATTTGTGGATATACGAGAAAGAGAGCGAAAAGTGAAACGCGGCAGTCGTGAACAAGGACGACAGCTTATGAATAGGCATAATAATGAAGCTGGAAGAAGGGTGGGTGGTTTATATATGTAACAGGAACAGTTAATAAAAATATATTTTTTATGAATTATCTAAATATTAAAAAAAAATAAGTTTAAGAACTAAAAGCAACTACCAACCACGGTTTTAGTTTTTAAACATACTCGTATTACTTAAAGATAGAATATACTCGTACATTAATAACACTCTAGTAATAATATATTTAGTACATGTATCATTGCATTTGTTTGTTTGTGTACATTGGTTTTTATGTTACTTGTCTAAGAAAAGTAAAACTTTAATTTTGATAATAAAGAAAAAATAACTTGTATTTGTAGATGTTGAGAAAAGTTATTTAATACATACCTAATATTTTGTAGGTACTTTATGAATTTTCCTAATAAATTTATAAGTTTTAAGACCATATTCATATTATAATGAAATTGAATTTATTTATATATATATAGAAAGACATGCAGCCATGTGGACATGTAAGAAAATATTTTTGTTTTATAATAATGGACGACGGATTTTGGCCACTAGACTAGCCATTTGTGCAGGAGATATTATAGTGCACAAGTGCACTCTTTATTCCTGTCATTCTCATAGTCCGGTGGGATGACTACTCGACACGACCAGTGAGAGATAAAGCGCATGACTGACGCCTTTACGTGCTCTCCGAGGCACGGGGGTGAAACACCGCCAACTTCGCAACTCCGAGCTGTTATTTAGATGTTAGTAATTAAACTTGGCCCGACCCGGAACTCGAACCCAGGACATTCGGATGTGCAGCCGTATATGTTAGGAACTACACCACCGAAACTGTTTTATAATAGTATAAATGCGGCACATGACTACTACATACTTTACTACTTAATCGATTATTTTCTTATATTTACTATACTAAAATTGTAGAGGACAAAAACAATATAATAAGATTCAAAATGTTGATGGCAGGCTGTTATAAAGAAGTCCCGGGTGACTTGCAAGTGTCACGGCGTATCGGGCTCGTGCAGTCTAATCACCTGTTGGCAGCAGTTAGCTACTTTTAGAGAAATCGGTATGTACATTTTTAAAATTGCTCTATTATAATTTCAAAAAACATAGAAGGCAAACATATTAAACATAAAAAAAATAAAAACCGACTTCCAGGCACTAATGTAAAAAATAACTAAACGGGGGTTTTAATTTAGAATAGATACCTAATCAGATATTTTCGAAGTTTTTTACATTTTAGTGCCTGGAAGTCAGTCGGTTCTGACATATTCGATTAAGCAATTTATTTAAAAAAATCATTTACTCGTTGATTTTTTAAAAAACCGCTCGACCGATTTCGATAAAATTTAAATGGGACCACCTGAAAAATATACCCTTCGAAACAAAAAAAATCCAAATCGGTTCAGGCGTCTTCGAGTAATCGGTGAACATACATAAAAAAAAGATACCGACAAATTGAGAATCTCCTCTTTTGTGGAAGTGGGTTAAAAAAACTTTTCAATAAAAGTATCTACAGAGCGTAGAAAACGAATGACATTTCTACATATTTAAAGTTATAATCTATACATATTATAAAATTGTAACAAAGTCTGCACATTAAATATTTTTTGGAAAATCTAATTGAAATAGACATTATTACCGATACAGAGTCCGAATCTATAGTTCTTAGAATTTTTGTCTATCTGTCTGTCTGTTACCGCATCACGAGAAAACCACTGGACAGATTTTGATGAAATTTGGTATAATGATAGCTGGTTATCCGGGTCAACATATAGGACACTTTTTACCGCGGGAAAATATCTCATATCTGAGAAAAAATACAAAAACTTCATTGTAAGAGTATAACTAATATGTAAAGCCTAAGAATTTGGTTTTTGATCATCTGAACGTGGGCGGAGCCGCGAGCAATGCTAGTACAATATATAAAATATCGTACATATGAAAGGAAAACCCTTACTATATCCTATCGAGCCATCAAATCTTATACTTGCAGTGAATCTCAATAAACTTATAGCACCATCTAAGCCAAACTTCTGGGATAAATCGTCACCAATACATTTACTCACAAATAACTCTATTAGAGAGCTATTCACAGCAGAGTCCAAACGTCTCGTTAAAGTAAATAGCCTTTCATTGTGCTCGAGATCAGATATTAGGTAGTTAATGAGACCTATTAATTCTCCTGTCGTCTCATGCTGCTCTGGTACACTGGATTCATTTTTTACTTGGATAACCAACTATTATAAATAATTTCTACTTTAACTTATTGTGGAAGGTCAAATAGAATTAGTCATTGCTATGATATGTTATGAACATTTTCATAATTTAATTCCTATAGTGTGTTAACTTAACAATTCAAGTATTTACGATTCTTTTACCCGACTGCGGCGAAGCCCAGAGGGTTATGTGTTTGTACTGTGTGTTTGTATGTATGCATGTTTGACCCTATGTTTCCTCGTAGTTACAAATTAATATTTGAGGCATATAAAATCATGAATAATCGAATTTTACGTCTTCCATATATAAAATACTTGTATAGGTGTGTTGTGTTTATTTTTTATGTACTATTTGTTGGAAAGTTACTTTACTTTTCGTAAAATTTTGCTTTTTTTCTATAAGTAAATAAGTAAACCTCTTTACTCGGAAACTATGTAGAATACCTATGGCTAAAACTTTATTGAAGAGATGTATCTCTAATGAGGACGACGAGATAAATATGTGGTCAAATTACCTTATATTGCTCTTAAGATAATATATATATATGTATATATATATATATATATATATATATATATATATATATATATACTAGCGCACCCGACAGACGTTGTCCTGTCTACACGTCTTTAATTTGAAAATTTCAAACTTTTTTTAATAATTTTTTTGATGAAAATTATTATTCAAATTGTGAATCTAAACCATTCCCAGATCCCCTTGAACACACACAAAAAATTTCATCAAAATCGGTCCAGTCGTTTGAGAGAAGTTCAGTGACATACACACTCACAGAAGAATTATATATATAAAGATATATGTATATATATATATATATATATATATATATATATATAATATATATATATAGCTATTGACTAGAAATATATTTATGAAATTTATGTTTGCGCAATATCTTTGCCAATTGAAAAGATATCGTGTAACAAAAACCAAATCATATCAGATGAAGTTTCTAGAAGAAGTCCTCGTTTTTGAAGTACCTATGACCAAAAATCATAGACTCTGTAAGTCCATAACGTCCTAAAGTCACTCTCAATATTAAAAATAAAAATAGCAGTAAAGATATACATATATATACATAAAGGTGTCTATTAAGTAATATTCGCCCAGTTGTCGAAATTCGACCATAAAGCTTGGCAATAAAAAGTTAGTGAAGTATTTTGTCTTCAATATTATAATTGTGAAAGTGTGTTTGTTTGTTTGTTTCTTCTACTTTCACGTAGAAACAGAGTGACTAATTAACGTGATTTTCGTCACGTGTGTGGAGATAGCTAGAGGGCTGTAGAGTGGCATAGGCTTCTTTTTACCACGGGAGATTATTGCATTCCCACGGGAAAACACGATATAATACAACCCACTACAACTTAATATTATAACTATGCATTATGTATGTAAATAACATATGTACAGGGTTCGAAACGATAATTATCTATCTTCTATATAAATAAAAATGAATGTTGGTAAGCGCACAACTCAAGAATGCTGGACCAATTCGACTAATTTTTTTCCCGTATGTTCCTTAAGGTCCACGAAAGGTTTTAATAAAGAGAAAAAAATGAAAAATTATCGAAAAAAAAATTAATATTTATATGGCTAACGCTGGCTAATAACTATTTATATCTATTTAAAACGCACCTAATCATTGATAATTATCTTGATGTTTATCATAATAAGTATAGGTTAATAATTATATTTGATAAATATAATCGAAAGAATTGATTTGCAACTCTTCAAATTGTCAATCAGCAAACTGAACTCTCTCAATCAGCTCAAAAAACTCAATCAGCAAAATGACAACTAAGGATGAGGATGACATTTCACTCATTCATTTAATTAAGTAGAGCCCATGTAGTTGATTAAATTTATTCTGTTTTTATATTATGAAAAAAAAATAACCTTGTCTAAAGTGTATAATTTATTCTAACGTAAATTATGATAGATAAGTAGTCAAATACCAATACAAGGATTGCTAAGATATATGTTAGATAATTATCTTGATAATCATCAATTCCATAATAACCGTTAAAAGGTAGATACCTAGGGAAGAACTCAAGCAAAGGGAAGGTGAGACGCTAGTTTATTTATAAATTTGTTTGGTTTGACTTATATTTATTTAAAAATCTAAAATAAGTCCACGGTTAAACAAATTGGCATTACATTGTTCTCGTGATCTGATACCAGAAAGCTAATGAGACCTATTAATACTTCTAGCGTTTCATGTTGGCTTTATAGGTTAAATATATTGAATCACAAACTCCCATAGTGATGATAAGTACCTATTAGTGATGTGATGTTTACCTATTATTAGGTAATAATAATTAAAAAAATTGTAATTACTCATTTATAAAAGAATACGTACCTTTTGAAATATTTTTTGACATCATATTGGCAAATATCGGTTTTAAATAGAATCTAATTTTTAATAGTTTTGAAAGAATTAGGTACCCATTTAATTATATAAAAGAATCATTTTTTTAAAAGCACTAGATATTTATGAATACTATCACTAATACCAGGCAATGCAATCAATGATAAGATATTTATTGAATAAAATACTTATATTTTAAACATTATTTAACTTTCCGATATGACAACGGTACGCAAACGTTAAGCCAACGAAATGAGCTAAATGTAAGCATAAATTAACTTATTTATGTCCTTCAAGCTATCCTATAAGTTTATACTTTATGAGACTGCAGCTTCTGAGAGCATTACGCTATTTTATTGAGATAAAATGTGTTTGTTGGTGTGTACGAACTGGTTTTAAAAAATCAAGGCTTTAATCATATTAATGTAAATTAGTGAATCGATTCATAACATAAACTTATTACAAATTTACTAGCATCCCAATATGAATTTTCATCCTCATTTTCACCCCCTTAAGGGATGATTTCCAGAATAAAAAGTATCCTATGTCCTTTCCAGGGTCTCAAACTATCTTCATACCAAATTTCATCTAAATCGGTTTAGTAGATCCAGAGATTACCCCCTACAAATTCACAAACGCACAACATCACAAAGTTTACCTCTCTATAATATTAGTATAGATTAGCATAGATTGTTTGTTATAATAAAATAAATATGAAAAACTTACCAGCACATAATCATTAAGCTCCATTATTCACAATAATTATAATAGAAACTTTAATATTACTTATAGAAAAAAGTTAAAAATACATTAAAACTTCATATTAACGACATGTTACGGGTGGCCACATAAATCAAAAAGGCCGCCAAGGGCATAGTAATAGAAACATTTCCAGACCTTGCTTATTTATTATCACAGTATGGTAATGACACTCCCAGGGCTATAATCCAGTAGAATTTATTAATGTTGAATGGCTTTATCACTGTTAATTTTTACCTATGCTTGTCTAAATATTTTTATTATAATTTATAACTAATAAACAAGTATGAAGTAAACTATAAAAATAAAATAAATTATAATTATACTCCCTCAACGACCGCGGACACGCCGGCGTTACAGTTACCAATAGATTTCTTAGAAATTTAATTAATTTCTTAGATATTTACCTAGAGGTGTTAAAGTTTTTGAATTTTGAAATAGCTCCGTTTCCGTAGCACAGATAATAAAAAACTTAGCTTGTTTAATGTTAGTTATATTAAATTATCTGTAATGTTTTAAATAATAAATATTTTTTTAAACTTAAATAAATTCATCGTTATCTTCATGTATATTGTTTCGGCAGGGGACTATTTGAAAGATAAATATGAAGGCGCCACAGAAGTAAAGGTCTCCAGACGTGGCAAGTTACGGCTCAGCAATCCGAACTACAGCTTGCCCACTGCTCAGGATCTCGTCTATTTAGAAGAATCACCGAATTACTGTATTCGAAATGAGTCACAGGTAAATACAAAAAGATAAAATTACCTTATTTACGGTTGCATTGCACTAGTCTTCTCTAAAGGAATGAGATCTTAATCGAACAAGTTTTTTACAGTTAATGGTTCAGTTTACACGTTTTGAAAAAGCTAGTTGGTTCTATCCAGTAGGTTTGGTTATTACGCTTTGTTTCATCGTATTACAAGTTATAAGATAAAGAAATATTTAAAACTAGCGACTCACCCTCGCTTCGCTCAGGTTCGTCCCTTGTTTGCTTCATCATACAAACTTCCATCCCCATTTCAACCACCTTAAGGGATAATTACCGGGATAAAAAGTATCCTATGTCCTTCCCAGGGTCTCAAACTATCTTCTTACCAAATTTCATCTAAATCGGTTCAGTAGATCTAGAGATTACCCCCTACAACGGCACAAACTCACAAACCCACAAACTCACAATAACACAAACTTTACCTCTTTATAATATTAAGTATAGATATAGATAAATAACTAATTTGTAATATTTTTTAAAATCAATTTAGTGTTTATACTTGATGTCAGGTAATGTGTTCGAAAAAGGCCGCCAACCGTATGATGGTATTTTCTATGAGACTTTTACTTTCCATTCATACTAATTTGTGACAGAAAAAGGATTCTTGTATTAAAAAAAAGGAACAATTTAAAAGTTTTTAATTAAAAATAGCCTGGAGCAAATTTTTGGTGACAATCCCCCATGGTCGTGTTTGTTAATATGTTTTAAGGTTTAAAAAATATATTTTGTTTGGAAAACGAATGAGATGGGTCCACTACATAGATCGACTGTCAGAGATTCACCTTAAAAAATCTTAAATGTTATAAATATTTAAAAGTTTTATAATGTAACATAGTGTGTTTCTGTTTCAGCCAGTTTCAAGATTGCTTTACTTTTTGTAGGTTGTTATGGATTATTTCGTTTTTTGATATTTTTTAAACATTATCCATGTTTTGTATAATTCTGTTATGTTTATGTAACTTATACGTTCGTATTCGAATTTAGTAAATCTATACTAATATTGTAAATGCGAAAGTTTGTGAGTATGGATGTTTGTTACTCTTTCACGCCAGAATGGCTTAACGGTTTTGGATGAAATTTGGCACAGAGATAGATTATAGTCTGGAATAACACAATTTTATATCGCGGTAAAATGTACGGTTCTCGTGGGATAGGTTTATTTTTGTTTTCCTAGAGGCGAACCCGAGCGAAGCGAAGGTGAGCCGCTAGTGTTATATTAATTGTGTTTTGTCATGTAAGTGAATTGTACATATTCTTAATAAGTAATAAATATTTCTAACCATATTTTTACCAGGGATCCTTAGGAACAACAGGCAGAGAATGCAACCGAACGTCGGCGGGTATAGACGGCTGCGCACTCATGTGTTGCGGGCGTGGGTACAACACTAAAAAGATTGTAGTCAAAGAACGCTGTCAGTGTAAATTCCATTGGTGTTGCAGAGTGGATTGCAATACATGTGTAAAGACTATCGAAGTGTATACTTGTAAATAACTTTAATATTAATATATGTAGGTATTTATTGTTCTGGTCTCTCCGCTCTAGATATAAATAATGAATATATGTAAGATGTGTAGTTTTAGAATGTGTACATTTTTTGAAAAAAAAAATAGGTTTAGCTACTTGACATGTATTACATAACTTGTAGTGAGAAAATATAATCTATATTTATAGTCTTAAGTACTTTAAAAAAAAACATATTAAATGAGAAATAAATGACATCACACAATCTGGGTAACTTTGGACCGCTTTTGAGACAATATAAATAATAAGCTTTATTAATATTTTGTACAGAATTACTGTACAGTGATTATGATTTATCATTTTGACGTTTTATATGCCTATTACTTACATTGAAAAATATTTAACGCCTCCATGGTTAGTTTCTGGAAAATCAATTGTTAACTGACATGCCTACGTATCCGCGAGCCTTCAAGCGTGTACCTGCAGTCAAAATCTGTACCACAGTAATGATATGCATACATTACCGTGTCTGTACCAATGACCTCAAAGGAACTACTTTTAGTATTTATTATTATTTGTATAAATTGTATAAAAAAAATTCATACATATTAATATATTCATGTATAAAATAAAACTTACATTTTGCTTATTTCACATATATGTATATTATCATTTTTCTGTATACATAAAATCTGTAATTTTAGTCTGTTTGGAACACTTCTGTATTGCGTACGAATGTTCTAGTTTACATTTATCGTCATAACTTCCTTGATGTGGATACTGTTACCTATTGAAATTGTTTACAATACATCGTTCTAACAGATATGTACATATGTATAATAATTCTCTGAGTTACAGACAGAAATAGTGTGTCCAAATAATACTTTCTTAGATTTACGAGAATATTTGACATTTTAAATAAAACTATCTTTTCGGATTATTTCGCAGATTTATTTTGATGCTGTAAAGCATTCGGAACGTCGGGAACCAAAAATCAAAATAAATCCTAAAAGATAGTTTTATTTAAAATATTAGGTACTCTGGTGCCATTGTGCCATTTTTGAAATCATATTTGTAAAATTGGTGGGTAAGCACTGTCTGTAACAAGTGTAAAATGCCTTTGAGATGTCTAAAACCTTAGTCTCTCCCGTGACCATGATTGCTGTAAAGCATTCGGAACGTTGGGAAAAAAAAATCAAAATAAATCCGCGAAATCATCTGAAAAGATAGTTTTCTAGAATAATTTTTCTCACCTTAAAGCCCATTTTATCGGATTATTTGACATTAAAGGTAACATTAGGTCATCTATGGCAAAGGAAATTGTTCAAATTCCTTTCAATTATAAATAGTTTTTTTTTATTATTTGTACAGATACATTAACTTCTTTCTTGTCCGATTATCGATTTAAAAAAAGGTATTTGTTTAGGGGATGGTCTAAAGTTACAACGCTAGTCCATTGTCCAATGTTATCCAGAATGACTGTACCTAGTAGGTATTTACATGCTTTATTAATTATTTATAAAAACTATACATTCCTATGTAATTATAATATTATGTATGTTAATTTGTAGAACATATTTAAAACAAAGTTTAATGTCTAAGAATATTAGTAGTTTTTGAATGAGGCTTCATATAGGTAGGTAATAGCTATTGTTAAACTTAATGACGATCTCTTTGAATAAATTTCTTTTACTATTTTAAATATGAATTATTATAAGGTAGTACGTTACAAGTAACTAATTATTTTTAAGTTTTTATATTTCCTACCTTTCCTTTAAATATTTTTCCAACAATTAGAAGAATTACAAATAATAGATTGTATCTATAACATATTTCATTATCTTCAACTCTTCAACGTAAATGGAACCGAGTTGTATCACGCTACCACCTTAACGTATTATACCTAGTACCCATAGTATTATATGATCTGTGGTATAACATAATTTGTTTTATTTATAAATTTTCGTACGAAAACTTAATTTAGTATTTACTCGTTGCAGCCTAATGATAAATATTTATGAGATTATTTTTCATTAATATTTTGTTATTAAATAACTTGACCTTTTTTCGAAGCCTAATAATATTATTATGCGATATGCCATCACTTCCGTTTCCATTTTCTGTCCTTTTTCTATTTTTAAATATTAAAAATATATTTCATTATATTATATTTGTGGTTTCATTACACCCTCAAGTATGATAGTTAGTAAAAATTAGTATTAAGTCCGCAGCATTTCGATATAGTTTGTGATTAAGCCAAAATAAACCAGTCCGGTACAGTGGTACCGTATTTCATCATTCCATAGGTACCAAATATTCTCACAAGAGGCGAGAGTTTAGACTCTAGACTTAAGACAAACCTATAGACAAACAAAAAATGACACTTTCCTAATGGGTATAACATGTTTATTAACTTTATCGTAACATACAAAGCACTTGAAACTTCTAATAGATTTTAGCACTTGTTTAGTAGCCAAGTTCAATAACGCAAAATAAAAGACAACTTATTAAAGTTCGAAAATTACCGACAGCATTGACAACCCAAAAATAAAAAAAATACCTCAAATTAAAAACAAATACCACAAATTTGTTTTTGAGAACTAATTTATAGCTAAATGTAAAAATTCTAACAAGTACGGGAAATTTTCCCGTGGATCTGAAAGCTTGAAATAAAAATCGATTTACGGATCAACTACGGGAAAGCTTCCCGTTGACCCGTAGATCGGGCGAATAGTAGCAACGAAATGTATTAGCACTTAGGTCTATTTGAAATTCATCGTAAGACTAGTATAGTATATATGATCTATGTCGTAAGCGTTCACACCGTATGATAACATATCCAGAGCGGACAATGTTCAACGTAGCATACACACATAGCGTAGGTACGTACGCTTGAGATGTGGAGGAGGAGGTGAGGTGCGTACGAAAATGTTTATGGCCAGCATTTATTTTGACAAAATAATCCGTATTATTTGGGGGCAAGCGAAGCGAAGGCAAGCGATGAGATTAAGATCTTGGCGATCTTATAGCAGTCCTTTAGTTAGGAAAACTATTTACAAAAATCATAATGAGATTCCATGTAAAACATAACATGAAAAAATGCATTTCTCGCAACGCAGTTCTTCTACCGTAAATTGTTATGAGATCTAATGTAAAGCCAACTCGGATAATTTATTCATAACTTTTTATGCAAGCGTGTTCTTATCCAATAACTTTGCCCTCTTTTCAAGAAATCTTGCCCCATTGTTATCTAATCAGTTAAATAACAACATTTTTTTAGAGACCATATCAATATTAGATATTTTTATATCTTTATTAAAAAGAATGACTTGCATTGCGAAACTTGCATTTTTTTACGTTATTTTTCATGGGAACAACCTACACTGCCCACCTGAGCCTAAAGTGCAGTAATAGACATTTTGGTCGGTTTTGAGTTAAATATATATTCTAAATCCCCATTTTAGTAGCTATCAGTCAAATTAATTCTTTTTTCTGTAGCGCTAATAAAAGTATTTTATTTTAATGTTTTTTCGGAAGGTGTAACAGCAAAAATATCACAAATCTGTTAAAATATTCCATGTTTACCAGCTAAACCGCAGTACAATTAATACTGCACAAGATTTTTCTCTGTTTCCTAACTAAACTGCAGTGTTTTATCATATTTTGTGGCACTTAAAATAGTAGTTTGTTCTAGGAGATTCAAGAAAAAACTTATTAAAATGCAGTATTATTCGACTCTATACAAATTGATTATACTGCAAAGGTTAAGAAAAAATATTTTTTATTTATATTCCTAATTAAAGTGCAGTATTAACATTCCATACTGCACATTAACTTGTGGGGGATTTTGTAATTTCTTGTGAAAAACTAAAAGACATGCAGTATTTAATAACTTTACTGCAGTTTAACTTGTAGGATGTTTTGTAGTTGCTTGTAAAAGACCATTTAGTTTACAATATTTATAAATTTTACTGCATATTAGTTAGTTTGCTCCATCCAATTCTTACTACCTAAAATACTTGAAGTCAAATACTATTCCCTAATACTGGGTTTTAATAGGTAAAATTATTAAAATATTAAAACACAGGACAGGCAATATCGCGGTTTGAGGCAGTCTCCTTAATCTGTGGCTTAAGGCTGACTTGACGTGCCATGCTGTGTCTGTACCAAAGAGATATGGAGGGTAGGACTAAGGAGAACTATTTCTCGTATAAAAAGTGACCGCTGACAAGCATTAAATTGGTGGCGCCACAGAAAACTAGTTTGTAATGTCCAAATAAACCTTTTTACTAAATGCATATGAAATTATATACGGTACTTATAAGAAAAACTAATTTTCAAAATTTTTTGTCTGTCTGTTTGTTCCGAATAATCTCTGAAACGGCTGGACTGTTTTTGACGGACTTTCAGTGGAAGGTAACTGATGTTATAGGGAGTAATATAGGCTACTTTTATTTAAAAAAAAGAATTAGAGTTCCGCTCAAAAAAAAGTATCCAGGGACGAACCCGAGTGAGGCGAGGGTGAGTCGCTAGTTTAAAACATAACGTCATAAAAGTAAGAAGGTGAATTAAACAAGGAAAGAAAGATTTCCGCTTTGCTGTGGCGCACTTTTCTAAATAGTTCTAGCATAGGCAAACAGCAATATAATTATATATTATTTTCAAGTAATAATAATTCAGCACACTTCACTCCGTTAAAAACTACTAACTTCACATCACATCTACTTGCTACGCTAGTGCTGTAAAGCTTAGTTCGCATTAAGCTAGTATTTTAGTCTAGTAGCGAGTAATTTAGTAGCTAAATTACTCGCTACTCACCAAAACTCGTTCGCACTTTGGTCGAGTACAGTTTACAAGTGAGTGGTGTTTTGAAAGATGAACAGCCTACAACGCAATAAAGTAAATAAACTGATTAAGCTGATCGTAACGGCTATTTTAGAAGAGGTGGATGAGGAAATTTGTGTGATTAATAAAAAGAAGCTATGGGTACGAAAATGGATCGAAAGACAAGATAAAGTAGGAGCTACTAATTGTCTTCTGAAGGAATTAGCATTGGAAGATCCCAAAGAATACTTCAATAGTTTGAAAATGTCCGAAAGTTGTGTAAATTTTCTGTTAATGAATGTTATGGCGGCAACTAATGAACTCGACTAATTCGACAGGTTCGTACTTGTTTAGCCGGTGAACCAGTGAGCTCGGACGCGTGGTGGGGGCTGCTACTCGCCCAAAAAAATAGAATAAAATGGATTGACTCGACTAAATTACTTACTAAACTAATCGACTAAATTTTTAGTGTTCAGACACGTTTAGTTACTAAATTACTCGCTACTAGACTAAAATACTAGCTTAATGCGAACTAGGCTTAACGGTGAGTTTCTGAGCTATAATTTGCTGCTCACTACTGGACACTTTTTCAACCTGTTTCCCATATAAGTTAATTCTCCTTATTTCTCCCTTCCATAATCTTTTCAGACTATTATTTTTGTAAGACAAGAATACTCATTTAGTAATTAGTTATGTTCAGAAGAAAGATTTTATGTAAATTTTATTGATCCATGCATGAGAAATACATGTGATATAGTTTTATGGTGGATTAACTTTAACTAGTTAAGATTATCAACATCTTGTAAAGATTGTTATATTGTTAGTCATATAAAACAATTTACACTATTAGATTATAATGTACAATGTTTTGATGAATAGTTTTAATAGCATAGTCATAAATGCATGTCCAGTTTGTTTAAGAAATTACATATTTTTATCAAAATTAAAGGTAATTTTATATTACTATAAGTGTGGAATATCAGTGTTTTTGTTCAAAAAAACAGATTAAATAGCAGTATTTTCATAATATTACTGCACTTTAGTTAGTAACAATCATGGAAGAAATGTCTAAAATGCAGTAATAACAGGATTTACTGCATTTAAAACAGTTTTTGAAAAGATTATACAAATAAAGTGTGTGTAGTAATAGGGGCTAAAAAATTAAAATTGCCATAATTATAGTTTTTTATAAAAAAACTAACGTAACAATGTTTAGTATTTTAGTTTGGTACATATTCTTTCACTTTCCATTCAAGGTTTTATCGAAAAGTCTCTTTTTGATATATTTTTATGGATTCTAAACTTTAAGCGCGTTTTTCTCGAATTCGTGTTTTTGCTGTTACTGCACTTTAGGTTCGGGAGGGCAGTACAAGCTACAATATATTCAAGGGCTTTTATAAGTATGTTCATTTAATCTTTGATTACGGGAACTTTTTAATAAAATTGCAATACAAGTGTAAGGTGTACGTACGCATGTAGATATAATAGAATTCCACAATCGATTTTGAGCTTGCCATTCAAACAATTTAAGTCTAAAATTAAAAGTATATATATTATTGAGTAAAGCTTATTATAGCGTCACGGAATACTTGTAGGTGTCAATGTATGGAACTAATGTATGGTTGGGTCTCACGTAGGATAAGTAGGTAATTTGTATTACAATATTGTAAACAAATATTATTTTAAGAGACCAACAGCTGTTGGATTTCTCGCTGTTCTTCTCAGCAGAACTGCCTTCCGAGTAGGTGGTAGTTACTACACTACACTGACATTTAGATTTAATTTAAATTTAAAATGTAAAATTGGCGATTCAAAAGTGCTTGTACAAATCTATTTGAATCAACGACCACTCAGTCGGGCTAAGTCATAGATTATACACTTATATACTGGCTAAGTAGTCGTTGATTTGAATAGAGTATATTTTGGTCTATGACTTAGTCTTTATAGTTTATACTCTACATTGGTACTTGGTATTTTTTTGTCTATGGTTAAGTAGGCGCCATATTTTTTCGAGTATTCTGAATTCTGAAATCTGATTTCTGTTTTTTAAATTTATGAAAATCTATTAATTTATGAATTTTCTTTATAAATTACAGCCATATAACTTAAAATTAAATCATGGGTAGAAAATCAGAACCACGCCATCGTTCTGTAAGTTATAATAATATAAACATACTTGTTATTGTTTACTGAATTCAAAATGTTATGCTTATTTTTAAAACGTTTGTCTGGTTTTCTCTAAATTTATTAAACTGCTAGTGTGATAACTATAACTTTTTTACCATCTTTAAAACTGCTCTAATATATTTTCATACTAGCGGCTCACGCTCGCTTCGCTCGGTTTCGCCTCTAAAACAAAATCAAACCTATTCCACGGGAACCGTACATGTTTCCGCGATAAAAACTGCCTATGTGTAATTCCAGACTATAATCTATCTCTGTGCCAAATTACATCCAGATCCGTTCAGCCGTTCTGGCGTGAAAAAGTAGCAAACATCCATACTAACAACACATTTATAATATTATAATACGGATTAATTTCAGAAGTCTTCAAGCTCTCACTCAGTAATAAATATGTACAAGAATAAAAAAATGAGAAGAGACAAGAACAGTAAAACCAGAAAAAATATAAAAAAGTTGTTTAACACCCTCCGTAATGAAAGTGAATTATCTAATTCATTAAATTCATTAAATAATACTATTATTGAGGTAGACAATACTATAACAGATGCAAGTGCCAAAAATGTTAATAATAAACCAAACAGTAGTAGTTTAATTGTTATTGAAGATGATGACCTCATCATAAACAATGAACCCTGTCCCATTCAATGCTCAACACCCATCAATAGCAAACACATTTTCAATGAAAGAATTACAACTCAAAGTAAAGAAAACAATAATACAAGTGCAGCACAAAACTTTGTTGAAGAAGTAGAAAATTTAACCAAAGAAATTAATAGAGATTCTTATTTAACAATAGATCTAACTACTGATAGTGGATTAAATGCAACAAAGCAATCAAATTTCAATACAGTTATAGATTTAGCAAATTCATCTGAGATACAAGATTGTACTGTCTCTGACGATAGCCTCTCGATGAGCGGAGATTCTGATGTAACAGTTATAAATACAAAAAGAAAAAATAAAGTAAATAGTACACAAATGAAGAAATTTGCAAATGGTATTGCAAAACTAGATTCTTCTGAGAGAGGGAAGCTGTTAGAATATATTGCGAATAAAATATTTAATGGGTGTAATGGACCTAATACTTCAAGTAACAGCCTGCACAATCTAAAGGTATTGTATTATAAATTATTACTATTATAAACTATATGTCATAATATAAATGAATACTATATAATAAATGTTAACAATCAAGACCATTTAAAGATATAAAATATTTTAATGAAATATGAATAAATTTAATGTATAAATGTTTTTTGGACATATATATCCTATTACCCGACTGCACCAGAAGGAGGGTTATGTTTTCTGAGTGTGTGTATGTATGTGTGTACTAGTGTATATCAAAATTATAAAAAATGAAATGGCCAATTTTTGTTGCTATATTTTAAGTCCTAAAAATAAACTTGGAATGAAAAATGCAAAAAAATAACAAATAAAAAAAACATAGCCACATACTTTTATATTATATATTTTGAAAATAAATGAAAAATTGAAAATATGCGCAATGAAAATTTTATAAAAAATTGTTTATATTGTATATAAAAAAATGAAGTTTTTTTTCTAAATATTATAGAATGGTATAAGTAGAGCCACTGAAACAGCCGAAGACACATATATAAAAGATGTCATTTTAGGCCGGTCATCTAGAAATAGCATTGGCAGTAATATTTACAATCCAGAAAGAGATATTAGAAATAAAACTGGCTTGCGAATGATTGTAATAGATGGCAGTAATGTTGCTATGCAGTGAGTATATTTGTTATTTAGTAGAATCATGGGATCTCGTCAGGAAAACAAAAATAGCCAAAAGAATATATGCCTGAATTAGGTCTCTCCAATTTCTCTTTATGTATATATCATCCATACTAATATGTATTGTATTACAACACGTTTGGCTCAGTTTGTAATGACCCTACTTATTGAACCAGCGGTCGCGGGTTCGAGTCCCGCTGGGGGGGATTCATTTGTGTGATGAGCACGAATGTTTGTACTCCAGTCACGAATGTTTGTTTATATTTATAATATGTATGTATTTAAAGTTATATATATGTAGTGTATCAGCTATCTGGTATCCATAACACGAGCCTCGTAGCTTACCATGGAACTAGATGGTGCTGTGTATGAATGTCCCAACATATTTATATTTATTATTGTATCACATGTGAGAATAATGGAATGAGAGTTGAATAATTTCATCAATTGTGAACAAACATAGGTGAGGATTTGAGGCTTAAAAATTTTTTTTATGTTGTTGTTGTTATTTAAGTAATATAAAATTCCTGTGTCACGATGTTGGTCTGAGATGAAATAAGAAACTTATACGATCTTAAAAGTTTTTTTTTCAAAACGTGTGATTTGTTCCAACTTCCTGATCCCGATTATTTCCTTATTTTATTGCGAAATTAACGATTTTCATATGTGTGCCACAGCAAGTAGCAATGCGTTGCCAAGTCTGCTAGTTTAAGTATAAGAATAAAAAGAATAATAAATTAAATAAGTTGCAGTGTTTCTTTCCTAAAAAATAATTAAATAAAAAATGTTTAGTAGAAAATGATATAACTGATTTTATTATTTTTTTACTTATAATTGTAATTATAAATTTTATTAAAAGTAAACTTTTTTATATATGTATATTGTGATTTCCAGACACACCAAGGGAAGAATATTTTCAGTAAAGGGATTGAAAATCTGCATTGATTATTTTGTACAAAGAGGGCACGTAGTTAAAGCATTTGTACCACACTTCAGGTAAGTCATAGATATATTGTATATTTTTTTATTATATCTATCCATACTAATATTATAAATGAGAAGGTAACTGTCTGTCTGTTACCTTTTCACGATTACACTAGAAACAAAAATAAGCTGAGTTTCTTGTGGTTCTTCTCAGACCAGGGCGCGTTACGAACCCTCGTAGCTTTAGTTTAAGTCTTCTAATTGACGTACACAAGTGATCATTGAATTGATACAATGTTCACGATTAATGCGCTGAATCGATTTAGATGAAATTTGGTATGGAGATAGTTTGAAACCCTTGGAAGGGCATGGGATAGTTTTTATCCTGAAAATGATTCTCTAAGTGGGGCGAAAAGGGGGATGGAAGTTTGTTTGGGAAATCAATCATTTTTCAAACAAGGGATAAATTTTTTGAAGTACTTACCTACTTTTCTGTATCTATGTATGTATAGTCTATTTATTTCATAGTAACTGTTAAACATACATAGGGCTGAACCCGAGTGTCTCTCTAGTCTATACATATAATAAAATTGTAACTAAGCCGAATCTGTACATTAAATATTTTTTGGAAAATCTTATTGAAATAAACATTATTATTGATACAGAGGCCGAATCTATAGTTTTTAGAATTTTTGTCTGTCTGTCTGTCTGTTTTTTACCGCATCACGGAAAAGCTACTAGGGATTTTGATGAAATTTGGTATGGTGATAGCTGGTTATCCAGGTCAAAATATAGAATACTTTTTACCACGGGAAAATATCTAATTTCTAAGAAAAAATACAAGAACTGTAATGTAAGAGTATACTAATATTATGTAAAACCTAAGAATTTGGTTTTTGGTCATCTGAACGCGGGTGGAGCTGCGGGCAATGCTAGTATTTAATATATCAGTTAGTGTCCTTAGGGAATATATATATGTCTTAATTTGGTCATTTTTTAAAATCAGGTGGTCATTATTTGACAATATTTGAGGTGTTAATGAAGAAGATTTATTATAATTAATATTACAATAAAGAATTTATCTCTAATTTTATTTACATGTAATATTTTCAGATGTAAATATGGCAAGAGTACAGACGGACGGCTTTTAGACCAGCTGGAGAGGCAGGGCTTGGTTGTGTACACTCCGTCTAGAGAGGTGCAGGGGAAAATGATTACGTCCTATGATGATAGGTTTGTTTTATACTAATTATTTTTATTTAAAACTAGCACCTCACCCTAGCTTCGCTTGGATTTGTCCCTAGTGAAAAACTAAAACTAATCTATCCCGCGGGAACCGTATATTATTCCGGGATATAAAGGAACCTATGTGCTATTCTAGACTATAATCTCTGTGCCAAATTTCATTCAGATCCGTTCAGCAGTTCTGGCGTGAAAGAGTAAAAAACATCCATCCATCCATCCATCCATCCATCCTCTATCCTCACTCACATTTATAACATTTACTAGCAAACAATAAAAATCTATCCCGCGGAAACCGTACATTTTTCATAATAAAAAATATTAATGCAAAAAAATGTAAATAAATTGTTTTTTTTTTCAGATAAATTAGTGAAACACTTCTAAAACTATTTTAATTTCTTTTTAATATCTCTTTCAGATATATAGTCCAATGTGCGGCGGAATTCGACGCCGTCATAGTTTCTGGCGATAATTACAGAGACTTGCTCAATGAAAACCCAAGATGGCGGCATGTCATTGAAAATAGGCTGTTGCAGTTCACATGGGTCGGGGACATGATCATGTTCCCACGGGACCCTCTCGGCAGGAATGGACCTACTTTAGAACAGTTCCTGAAACACCCTTCGTAATCATGTAAATATAATATTTCCTTAGATTTACGAAAATATTTGTCATTTTACATAAAACTATCTTCTCGGATTATTTCGCGGGTTTATTTTGATTTTTGATTCCTGACGTTTCGAATGCTTTACAGCAATCATATCAGTATCAGTATGTCAGTCTCCCGTGACCATGATTGCTGTAAAGCATTCGAAACGTCCGGGAACCAGAAATGTAAATAAATCCGATAAATAATCTAAATGGATAGTTTTATTTATAATTTAAATATTTATTTGCTTTTAATATATTGTGTCTCTTTCTTTTATTCCCCAAATTATTGTGAGAGAATGTATAACAGCTTATAATTTTTATGTTTCTTTTGAAGTGAACATGGCATTTTTATTATAAATTGTATGGAATTTATTGTAGATTTGAACGACTTTGTGCTAACAGATAATATTAATTCTGTATATTTGAATATACCACTTTTAGTTTTGTTGCATTTCTTTGATTGAAATATAAAGAAAAATATTTTAGATTAATATATTATATTTTTAACTGTGAACTTTTCTATATTTGTATCAGAATATTTAATAAAATTGTGTACTGTTTAAATATTTTAGTGGAGTTATATTTTACCTTTCAGTGGATTCGTTTTGATAAAATTTCATAAAATGTTTTTAATATAACCGAATTATGCTTTAAATTACTAAATGGGATTATAAAAAAATAAAAATATTTTTCTCACATGGAACAATATTGTAACTCAGAATAGAGATAATTTCAAAAAAACACAAACTTTTATCAAATTCCAAAAGAAATAGAACTTTTTCTATATAAGCTGGTTGGTATTGATCACTCGACGCCATTTTTTTTGTGGGGCACCATGAACACTTAAATAAATGGATAATATTCGCATTATTGATGCCCTAAAGTGTCACTTTTCTGAGATAATATAAGATATAGATCATTATTAAAACAATTGTTTAAAAACCGTTAATGCATATTAACATAATGAGTTCGTTTTTAGAGGTTTTCATATAGTAATAATACACCTATCTTCAATCTCGTATATATGATGTACATTGTGCCCCATTATGTTAGGAAAAATAAAAATGGCGGAACGCTGGTTAATACCAGCTGTAGTGGTTAATGAGGTCTAAATGAAACGACTTCTGGATGACGACTGGTTTATTATAATTCCCTTCTTCGAGAGTTACGAATACCGACATGACAATATGTTTATTTTAATATAATATTTAATACATGAAGGTCAAAGATGCCATCCTCTTAAAAATTGCTAGAACATTGATTTACAATGTTATTATGGCTTGTGTATGTTTTAATATTATATGATGAATTTTACATCTCCGTCTAAAACCATAAAAAAAATGAGTATGTGTTACCTTTATGTGCGGTTGAAGTAAACTTCTTTGGTGCTGTGGCAGATACTGTAGTTAAATTAAAACAAATCTCAAATATAAATATAATAATAGTTATAAAATTACTATTAATGAATATTAATTTTTATTATTAAGTAATAATTATTATAAAACTATAAATATAATATTTTTTTAAATTATTATTTATTAATAATAAATTTTACTCTCACTTCCACGATACTTTTCCAACATATTGACTTACCCCTCAGTCACGCCTAAAGGAGTTTTACTTCAATCAATAATGTTACATAAATCATAGGTAAGTTGTTCATGTATAACTTCGTGCGATGTCATAAAATGTAAAATGCTTATACCCATTACATTATATATGATAAAAATTTTTTTATATATACACACATATAATATATGAATGTATATATATATATATATATATATATCATATATATATATATATATATATATATATATAACTAGTCGCGATGTAAATCTTTGATTTGATAAAATTCAATATAGTTTTAAAACAAACCTTTACTTCTGCCTTTTTTAAATTTTAGAATATAAATTTGCTTTATTTTATAACGTATTATATTTAAATATAGTTTTGTAAATATTTTGTATAAAAGACGTTACTTAGCAATTGTCTTTTTTTAATAATTAACCGTTGATTCAGTGTTTGAATATTTTTTAGTTTTACTTCAAAAACTGAAAATATTTATCGCTGAATTTAACTTGGAATAGGAAGTTGATGATATTTATGATTTTGTTAATTTGTTTCTAAATTTTTATATAATGGGAATAAACAAATCTCGATGTATAGCTTTTTATTACTTTTATATACATATATTTTACTAGTATTGCCCGCGGCTCCGCCCGCGTTCAGATGACCAAAAATCAAATTTAATAGCTCTATTGTTCTTTTCAAGATAAGCTATTTTTAGTAGTTTTTGCCATATTTAGTAAGTTACCTTGCTAAAATACCTATATATAGTATCATATATATATATATATATATATATATATGTATATATATATATATATATATGTAATATATATATATTTACGCGAATATTTGACATCTATACATATAATAAAATTGTAATTAAGCCGAATCTGTACATTAAATATTTTTTGGAAATCATATATATATTTTTTTATATATTTTATATTTTTGGAAATCATATATATATATTATATATATATATATATATATATATATATATATATATATATATATTAGGTACATTAAAAGATTATATGTACATCCAGTGTCTTTTCGATTTAACACGACGAATTGACGAAGTGGTGTGTGCCCAACTGGCACGTCAAAATCATTATGATAAAGAATTAAAGATAATTTTTAAGTCACAGTTGATTTTGAACTTTCTACAATTCAATAGGAAAGACCATTTAAAAAAAAATTACTGAACAGAACTTTATTGGAGATAAAACATCATCAATTACATACACAGTAACAATGGAGTATGGAAATTCGAAACAATAAAACGTGCAATTTGGCATATATTAAAGAAGCGTGTAAAAATACATTTAAATATAAAAAATAACACCTATCTTAATCTCACTTCCATTTTGCAAGCTCATGGACTTAGCCTACTTCGCAGTCTTTCGAACACTTATAATATAAATATACATATAATTGTGCGTAAACAAAATGCAACATACGATTAACGCCGACATTGCACCAACAGATACAAACATTTTAAAATTGTAATTATTAAAAATATACTAATCAACTATCTCCACACGTTGAAGCAAAAACAATTTATAAAACCAATATTATTATAAAATTTTGTAAATTTTAGTTCCAGTGTACAATAACAATATTAAATAGATTTATTTAATAAAAAGCAAATTGCGAAAAAAAACAATACATATATTTAATATCATATATTTGGATGAAATGTACGAAAAAACTAAAATATTAGTAAAATAATACTTTTTTTTTTTTTTTTTATTAAAAATAGGCTCACTCTTGACCTTCATCTTACTTTAAATGTATAGATAAGGTCTATGATGTACCGAGTTTGCCCAGGAGAAGCCTGTTGACACGCACCTTAAAAAGTTTCAAGTTGTACGCTCTCGGAAAAACAGACGCAGGCAGGGCATTCCATTTCTTGGCTGTGCGCAATATAAAAGATGATGAATAGCGCTTAGTGCGAGTGGTCGGAATGTCAACCAAGAAAGGATGGTATCCTGCAGTACGTCTGGTGTTCCGATAAAAGAATGGCGATGGCGGTATGAGACTGTGGAGCTCGTGGGCACACTCCCCGAAGTACAGTCTGTAGAAAACCGACAGACAAGCAACTTGGCGACGGTGTGCTAAGCTGTGAAGCTTAGTTTTCACAAGCTTTTCGTCGCCGATAACACGATACTTTAAAACACTAGTGTTCCTAACAGTGACATTTAGGACTCTACGTGTAGAGACAGCATATAACTACAAAAAACAATACAATTTATTAACTCAATATCCAAATTTTTCTATTGCTATTTCAAACAACATTCAGCATCTGCTACAACCATTAAAAACCTATAGAAAATGTATTAAAAAAATATTAAAAAAAACAAAACTTGAAGAAAAATGTTACAACTAGGAAAAAATCTCTAGACTACAGTAGAATATCAGTTAGTAGCAGGGCTCGGAACCAGTTTATAATACCGGTTTATTTCATTAATGTAATGGTTAATTCAACGCTCGTTAATAAAAACGAATAACCGGTTAATAAAAACGAACGGTTTTAGTAAACCGAAATTAACCGGTTAATTCATTCATAAGTAAGGAACTTACATTTATATCCTCCTAAGATATTCACCATTAGCAGACTCGCCAAATTATTGCAAACGCACAAAAACTCATTTTAACCGGTTAATTTTCGGAACCTAAATTCGTCAAAAACAGCTCACTGGGATTTAATCGGTTAAAGAACGTAAACGAAACCTCAAACCTAAAAGCCTTTCGGTTTGAGGTTTCGTTTACGTTCTTGTATGTAAATAACAAAAACCGGTTTAAAAATTGACCGGATTTCCGAGCTCTGTTTAATAGCAATATTTTTCGACAAGCGTTTATATCAAATGTACCTATATCCTTTAAGAATAAACAGTATATTATTTTTTAGTGTAGATACTAAAACAATGAAATCGATGGCCGCGTTGATAAATTACATAAAATATGTATTTATTATGAATATCATATCTGGTAAAAGGTTTTGAACAATTAAAGAGATTTACAGTATATTATGGCATAAGTAATGTTTTAAATCACAATTACTATATTAAAACTATAGACGTAGATAATGTACTGAGCTTGACCACTCTCTAGAAAGAGAGAAAGCGAACGTACGGCCAACAACCTGTATTTTATTACTTACATATAATTTAAATTTATGTATGGAAAAAAAAACTATTGAAAATTATAATATTATAATGGAATGTATAATGGTTATATATTAATAGAAAACTTACGACATTTCTTTTCCTGTCGCATTTTCGCCATTTTTAGCTGACGGCTGACAACACTCAGTCCACTCTCTATGTCTATTATAAAAACTTATAAAATTAAAAAAAAATCTAAAACAGCTATTTATTTACAGCAAAGTTTTATCATAATGGCTTGTGATGTATGTTTTCAAAATTTGGGTTCAAATATTTAGGAAGATATTGTAGGAATCAAAAGTAGTTTTGGCACTACACTGTTACAAATTATATCGAAAATAATTACAAAAATTAACTTTTACTTAATATTATTATATTAAATTAGCCTTCCTCTTCTAATATTGAAGAGAACATATTATACATTTGTCTTATGAAATTAAGAAAAACCTCAATTGATGACATCGTATCATTAAAATAATATAAATTTAAAACGTTAATTTTATATTTTATTATAAAATAACATTTAAGAAAATAACACTAAAATAAAACATTCTGTAGGAACAAGGAAGGGATCATCAAAACACCATTTTGATACAAAAAGGTTTGTATCACCTTTCTTGTTGAAATAATTCATCATAAAAATATAACAATAATACAAACAATTACATAGAAACAAAAGTAATTATTAATAATACTAAAAATTATTTTGATTGAAATTATAACGAACATTTACTATTATTAATTTTGTAAATTGAATTAAGTTTTTTGTTGTTTGAATTTACGAAAAGAAAGCACATCTATATGCTATTAGTGACTAACCCTCGCTTCGCTCGGATACGTCCCTAGGTTGCTTTCTCATACAAACTTTCATCCCCTTTCTCACCCCCTTAAGGGATGATTTCCGGGATAAAAGCTATCCTATGTCCTTTCCAGGGTCTCAAACTATCTTCTTACTAAATTTCATCTAAATCGGTCCAGTAGTTTCGGAGCCTATTCGGTACAAACAAACAAATCTGCTCTTTATAATATTAGTATAGATGTAATTCCAACAAATCAAAAAGTAATATAAAAATATGACTAAACATATCCATCTTTGGACGGATTTTTATCCGTAATTTTTTCATATAAAGAAAATAGCGTCTATACATTTTTAATGTATTCATTAGTTTTATTATGCGCAATGGAACTTTGGTTTGTTAGGAATTATTGAAATATATTATTTATGTCAGAATTTTTACTATTTCTATTAGTAAAAGATTAACAAGCCGATCAACAGGGAATATGCGTGATTTTTTATTATTTTTTATACAATAGCTACAAAAAACTAAAGTTTAGTATAAATAAAAAAAAAATATACCAATACGGATACTTCAAACGGCCGCCATTTTATTTAAGGCGTGACGTCTTGTAAAATGAAAACTTGCTTAAGCAATTTTTGGCAACAAAATCGTTAAATTGGTAATACTGGCTCTGTTAGACTTTGACGTCACATTCAGTCTGACCAATGGCGTTGCGTTTCAACTACATTGAACTTCTCACCTATATTTGTACTTTTTAATAATTATTTTCTTTATCAAAACGAAATTACATTAAAAAAATTGATATAGGCTTAATTTAAAAGCTATAAAGATTATTAAAAAAAAAGTATTTCACCTGTATTTAAATCACACGCATATTCCCTCTTTGTTAAATTATTTAATTATTACTCAAATTAAAAAAAATGTTTCTATTTAATACATCGCCATTTACTATTTAAATGAGTTACTTATCTATGACTGAACATGTAAAATGCTTCATTAAAGGACCTAAAGCCTTAAAATTTGGTTTTTAAAAACTATATTTTAAACCTATAGTATAAGAAAGGCATTTTTAAAATTGACTAAAATAACACAAAAGACATTTAATATAACAATAACATTATTTATTACATAATATTAAATTATGATTAAATTGAAAATTTAGTAACTAATTTTTCTCATCATGCACATGCATTAAAAAGCTAAAATATATTTTGGGGCGATTATAAATAATACTACTACGTGTAATTATGAAAATCCCTATTTTAAATAAAACTATTTTTTCGGACTTTTTCGCGGATTTATTTTGGAAAAATCCGAAAAAATAGTTTAATTTAAAATGTCAAATATTCGCGTAAATCTAAGAAAGTATAATCCCTATTTTAGTTATAATTTTTCTGCGGTAACAAAATATATTTTTTCAAATATAGTTTTAAAATTAATTGATTAAATAATTATTTATAATCGCCTTTATTACGGCACCATATAATATAATCTACATTATACATGTTTTATTACAGATTAAAACTAAAACAAGCTCCGTCTTAGACACGATACGCCTAATAATATTTATTCAATATAATTAACTTTTAATATCTTCCTGTAAACATTAATAGGCCGCCATATTGCTTTACCACATTCAAGAATCGATCTTATTACCACAGTATATTAATCCATACAGTAGTCTAGACAGGGCACTTTGAAATGGCTTTAGGGTTGACACATTTAAACTTGCAATGAGATAAAACACCGTGAAAATTGATATTTTTGACAACCCCTCCATTTAATATTTAAGCTAAAACCAATAGGCCCGCTTATTTTATGAATTTTCATACTGTGATATTACGTTATATTACTTTTTAAGGCCATCGAAATTATTTAGATTAATATTATATATTTACTTATTTGTTTTAGACATCATTTTGTCTAATTTCAACTGCTCCAATTGCAATTGTCGTCTAATCGACCCTAACTGCGTTAAAATACTAACATTTTTGCCTTTATCGTTTAACGATTTCAATATATTCTTCTGCACAGCCGGAACACGCCATTTGTCATCGACAATTTGCATTTTTTCACTCAATTCTGACGTTTTGTCGTACATTGTCTGTGGTTTTGGGGAATGCCTTAAAACTGGAATAGGTAGCGGGTCTTCGATTTTATCCATTTTATCTAGAAATCTCTCTTTTTGTTCGTTCGTTAGTATTTTTTCAGTGGTATTAGGAATTTTACTCATAAGGCTTTCTTTGGTGGGATTGAGGTTTCTCCTCAAATAGCTTTCAACGTCGTAGTTTGATGAAAATATGGACTTTTCTGGAATATTCGTGGAATATGGCGGTCGATCAGATTTATATAATTGAGGAGATTCACTTTCAGATGTGAATGCACGTTTTGGATGAATGGCGGCTTTGAGCAACGCTTGTTGTTCTAAATCAATTTCTTTCTGTAGGGTCTTCCTTTTTTTCTCAAATTCTGAAGCGTTATCTGTCATCTGTAAATATTAATAAGCATATATATTAGGCAATAGTTTTGTTTGTCACTTGTGTTATGTATTTTTGTCGATATAGGGATAGTTTATAAAAATAATTTTATTCACGAAAAAGGAAGCGGTGTATGTATTATGTTTTAGGCATATTTCATAGAAAAATGTAGAAAATAAGACTCAGTACGATGAATTTTCTACTAAATTTGAATTTAAAATAATAACTTTTAATTTAATTTAAAAGATAAAATCCTTAGGTCTTCAAATATTGGAAGTCAATTTTAACCTACTTTTAATTATAACGAAATAAAACTTGTATATGTAATTCTGATGATAATAGTATAAGTTTGTATTTTGGAGCTGACCTCATGATGAAGCCAGAAGGTGGATAGTGGAACTCTTCAATGCCAGTAAACCTCTCGAGTTTGGGCTCATATCATTCTTAGTAATTGGTAACTTGGTAAACTTGGTAAAAATTGGTAACGAGGGTCTGATTATGGAGGAAGTGGATTTATAACTTTAGTGTGTAGTAAAACTTTGTCTTTTTTTTTAAAACTACATATTTTATATTGCTGTGTATTTAAATACGTATATAAATGTATATTTGAACTCACAGCAGTATGCACGTCGTGTTGTCGCACTATTTCTCTTTCCTGCGCCATTTTCAACGATCGCAGTTGCTCCTCCAATCTTCGCATCTCAGCTTGTTCCAGCATTCTGTGAGAAATTATATATATTCTTATTATATACCATGATTAAATTATTTTTTCTTTTAAAAATAAAACTACATATCTTTTAGGATTTATTCGCGAATTTGTTTAGGTTTTTAATTCCCGATATTTCGAATGCTTTACAGCGATTATGATCACAGGAGAGACTAAGGCTTTAGACGTTTCAAAAGTCAAGATATAGTTGTTACAGACAGCACCTACTCACAAAATTATACAATGATTTTAAAAACGATTCTAAAGAAGTATTATTATTTTTTGTTGTTTTGACAAGGTGATCTTCTTCATTGCACTTGATATTAGAAAAGTAATCTGTCCTCAACTGGTACGCTTTGAACAAGAGACATGAATTGAAAACGAGGTATGGTACCTCCATACCTACCTACCATGCAGAAAAAATGATAAGACACAGATTAAAAAAAACATGGGTGCGTGTAACCTTTACGCGCAGTTGAAGTAAAACTTCTTTGGCAAATATTGCAATTAAATTAAAACAAATCAATAATAATTAAACAAGTATTTATAGAACATCATTTAAGAAATAATATTATATATCATTTGTCAGACAATAACAACGGGTTACCGGGGCAACAAACGTTCGCCTCGCCCGATCACACTTTTCGTAACGCATTCACCATCTTACTCCCCAAGTCAAGCGTGCGTAAAGAAGCGTGTTTTATTTCAAAAATAATTTTTAAACTTATTATTGCTCAACAAAAATTATAGTCATAATATTATAATACACAACAAAGTATATTGTGTATTCTAAATAAAAAAATATATAGCAAAAGAACCTCACTTTTCTCTAGTTTTCCTTTCCTCCTTGATTCTTTGTTGTTCGAGGATTTGATTTTTCAATTCTTGTTGGTAGTACTGGCGACGTTCTGCCGCTTCCTGATATCATGATGAAAAAATACCATTATTTCATATTATAGAAAACTAGCTGGATACGTTTTAACGGTTAGTATGGAATAGAGAGTCGATACCTTGCTCTGTGAAAAACAAAAAATAAATCTATCCCACGGAAACCGCATATTTTTCGTGATAAAAAAACTGTGTGCTAGTCCAGACTATAATCTATCTCTGTGCCAAATTTCATCCAGATCCGTTCCGATAAGTCGATCTTTGCACAAAATTTTTATTTTAATTACTGTATTTAATTTAAGTGCAACAAATAATGGTATATAATATTATTAAAGGAAAACATCGTGAGAATTTATAATATAATATTAATATAACTTTAAATACATACATATTATAAATATAAAGACCCGTGACTGGAGTACAAATATTCATGCTCATCACACAAATGAATGCCCCCAGCGGGACTCGAACCCGCGACCTCTGGCACAGCAACTAGGGTCACTACAAACTGATCTAAACGTGTCGTCATTGTTAAATAATATAATATTATTTTTAACCTTTTCAGCCTGTTCATTCCTAAGTCTGATGGCCTCAGCATCGAATATGGACGGCATGTACGTGTGGCGCAGCTCCGACGTCAGTCTGTCCCGCGTCGATTTGTTGACTAGAGTCGATGTACGTTCTGAAATATTATTAAATAAAATTATTTTTTTAATATGAAAATCTATACAGATAAATAAAATTTAAGTGTCTGTTTGTAATGTTAAAATAAAAGCTTTTTATTAAATGCATATGAAATTATATACGGTACTTATAAGAAAAACAAATTCGCATATCTAGGGACATATCATGAGCGTAGCGAGGGTAAGTCGTTAAGAGGATTGTGAAGTGCCGATACGCGGCGAGAGTAGGTATTTTTAAAAATGCTATCTGTTTCATACCGCTTTGCATCCCCCCGGCAGTGAACAACACAAATACAACATACGCAAATTCTCACACACACTATGATAGCAGCAGCCGGTGACGCGCGGGCGCTCGCGGGGGCGGGGGCGGGGGCGGCGCGACTCGGCGCAAGAGCAATTTTAAAGTTTATCTAATATCTACGGTTTGCGTACAATATACATTCCCTACAAGTTACATCGCACCTTTATTCATAAACTGAAATAACTCTAAATTACAATTTTGTGGCGAATATCATTTAAAATTTGACTTGTTTAGATTGATGACTTCAAAAAATCATAGAAAAATAAATAGGTGATTTAGATCAATTACAAAAAGCTCGTTCCAAAAGTTGAAAGTTTTAGAATTTTTGTTGTTTATGTACTAATAGACCCATCGGAATCCTTTTATTTTTAAAATAATTTATTTATTGCAAACCTGAAGTTTTATGATTTTAAAATGTTAGCAGCTGGTATATAAGGAATAGAAATTCATAAAATGACCTGATCATGAATGATGATGATTTACGATTTTTTAACAAATCTATGACTAAATTTTATAAAATATATCAACTTAATTTTTTAAAATATATTTTTAACTAATGAATAAACAAGATTAGATTACGAATGAATTTCATTTCTTTTTGTAATTGTCCTAAAATCATTTTTTTCAGAAAAATCAATAAAATTAACTGCAAAAACTAATAAAATATCGATAAATTCGAAAAAATTATAACGAATAGTATGTGTATATTTATAAATATACATATGCTATTCGTAATATTTTTTAAAAATTATAACGAATATTATAAATTATAACGAATATAAAATTAAAAATATAAATTTTACAAAAATAAAAGTATTTTTATTGCTCCTTCTAAACGGTAGTAGTCCAGCAATTAGCAAAAGCGCGTGACCGGTGGAGGGCGAGGGGTGGAGGGGTGTAGGAAACCCTTACTCATTTAAACTTATACAAACAAATATCTCGAAAACTTTGAGGTTATCGTAGAAAGTGTTATTTATCAAAGTTGTAGATTTTTACTAGACCTTTTACATTTGTAGAAAATATTTTTCGATAGAACGTCACAGTGAGCCGGAAATTGAAAAAAACGCTTTGCGTCCTCCCATTTCTCGAGTGTAGCTGGACAGATGGGGCATTTTACGAATTTCTAATCCTTATATACCTGCTAACATTTGAAAATTATAAAACTTCAGGTTTTCAATATATTGTTGTCAAATTCCGATTGGACTATAATACTAGTATACATACCAAATTTTAGCTTTCTAGGACTTCAGGAAGTACCCTAAGAGTTTTGATGATCATCAGTGAGTCAGTGACGAAATCGGAGTTTTTTAGATATCAATAAAATCTAATGTAAAAGAGCTATGCAATTGAAACTTTTTATGTTTAGCTAGCATTGCCCGCGGCTCCGCCCGCGTTCATATGACCAAAAACAAATTCGTAGGTTTTACATATTAGTACATTCGTACATTGCAGTTTTGTATTTTTTCTCAGAAATGAGATATTTTCCCGCGGTAATCCTATATGTTGATCCGGATACCACCACCAGCTACCACCACACCAAATTTCATCAAAATCTCTCCAGTGGTTTTTCTGTGACGTGGTAACAGACAGACAGACATACAGACAAAAATTCAAAAAACTATAGATTCGGCCTCTGTATCGATAATAATGTTTATTTCAATAATATTTTCCAAAAAATATTTAATGTACAGATACGGCTTAGTTACAATCTATACATACGAGTAGAATAAAATTCTAAACTTTGGATTGAATCTTTTCAGTATCGATCGATATATCGATATTACCTTCTCCTCCCTAGGAGATAATAATATCGATAGCACCTTCAACATCACTACAGTCTAAAATATGCCCCTGCCCCCGACCCGTATGGTGCGATAGAGAGAGTTGCAAGTCTTAGACTCAATTACCTACATTTCCTTTTTGAAATATTGTTTCGGGCGATAACGTTTTCACCCCCCTAAACATTAACGAAATGAGACGATTTTGGTCTCATTAGATTCAGTACACCTTAATCTAGGTCTGTCCTTTTTTTGTAATTCAGTTTAGTTTAATTTAAAAAAATAAAAACGCTGGAGGAAGTTTTTAGGTCAAAAATATAGATATTTAGATGCTAATAACTTCTGTCGTACGCAATATTTCAAAAAAATAAAAACGTACGGACCTAGATTTTGATTATATCTACAACATTTCCAAAAATTATGAAAATTAGACTATGTTTAAGGGGGGGAAAACGTTATCGCTTTTTGTATGAAAATTTACAGGTTCACAATCCTCTTAATATAAAATATTTTTTTTTAATTTATTGGTTTTATTTCACACACTGTTATGTTTAAAATTGTGATATCGTTTTCTAGCGTGAAGTATATGAATAACTAGCTGCTTACCCTCTTTTCGCTTGGATTCGCCTCTAAAAAATCGCCTCGAAGAATAAAAACAAATCTATCCCACGGGAACCGTACATTCATTCCGGGATAAAAAGTAGTCTACGTATATTCTGATGTGTGAGCTATATAATTGAAAAGTTCCATTAAAATCCATTCAGTAGTTTTTGTGTGAAGGAGTAATTAATCTATACACCTTTATAAACTGTCTATACGTATAGTACCCACCATCGAAGTCCCCGTAGCTGCGGCGGCGCGGCGCCGGGCCCGCCTCGCGCGGCGACAGCTCGCGCTCCGCCCGCGTGCGCCGCCGCGGCGAGCAGTGCGGGAGCTACGAACAGGGGGTACACTTGTATTTAGCCCTTTTTAACGTCCCACTACTGGGCGTGGACCTCCCTTCAGTACGAGGGTGATAAGACCATAGTCCACTACGCCGGCCTAATGCGGGTTGGCGGACTTCACATGTCTTTTGAAAACTTGCTAGGTTCTCTCAGACATGCAGGTTTCCTCACGGTGTTTCCCTTCACCGTTAAGACGAGTGGTACTCATGTTGGAAATGATTCGCACATGAAAATATCAGAGGTGCGAGACCCGGGATTTGAACTCGCTTCACTCGGTTTTCCAAGCGAGCGCGTTACCACTGGGCTACCACTGCGGGGTTAGACTAATGTAAATGATATAAATCTCTAAGCTTTCATGGTCACTGACAATATTATTATTCAAATGAAAACTTCTTTAGCGATTATTGGTACGGACAAAACTTAGGCAGCGCGCACTTTAATCGCCTCCAGAGAGCGGAATAGGTCATAGTCCACCACGCTGGCCGAGACGGACTGAGCATATCTTTCAATAAATAATAATAATTCATAAATAATAGGAGTGTAATTTTTAAAACTTATAATAAAAAACAATATATTATTGTCGATAACTGAGCATTTGACATTTCTGAATAATGGGGCCTTGGTTATAATTTTGTTTCCTTATCTTATCTATACATATAATAAAATAGTAACAATGCCGTAAATGAAATATTTTATTAAAAAACAATGACTGTTAAGTATTTAAGGGATTTATTTATAAATAAATATAAACCCCAAAACAAATTTTGAAACTTTCGTCTATTTGTCTGTATATCTGTTTGTTCTTCACGCGAGTACATAATATAATCTAACCTAATAAATACTTACCGTGAACAGCTCATCGTCGTCTGTCTGTACAGCGACTGACAACGGCGTGCTTCTATGGTCCACTTGAACACCTGTATCCACTTTACTGGAATTATAAACACATAAAAATCAATACATACAAATTAAGTGAATGCTAAAGTGTTATTATTTGTAATACTATCTTAGATTTATGCGAATATTTTAAATAACAAAATAAATAAATATGTTGGGACATTAACACACAGCACCATCTAGTTAGTTCCATGGTAAGCTACGAGGCTAATGTTAGCGATACCAGATAGTTAATATACTAAACATATATAATTTTTAAATACATACATTTTAAAAATATAAAAATAAAAACTTAAACTTTCTTAAAAATAAAAATATATTTTCGGATTTTTTCGCAGATTTATATTGATTTTTGGTTTCCGAAGTTTCGAATGCTTTACAGTAACCATGGCCACGAGAGAGACTGTTACTTTTCAACCGACTTCAAAAAGGAGGAGGTTCTCAATTCGACTGTATTTTTTTTTATGTTTGTTACCTCAGAACTCCGTCATTTATTAACCGATTTGGACAATTTTTGTGTTGTTTGAAAGTGTATATTTCCAGATTGGTCCCATTTAAATTTCATAACAAAAATACCACCCCTAAGGGCGGAAAAATAGCTAATGATGAATTTAACCTACTTCTAATTGTCATATTGACTTGAAACTTTGCAAGTATTTCTATTTCCGTTGATAGTACAGTGGTTCGGTATTATTGACCTGATCTGATGGTAAGGCCAGAAGGTGGATAGGTGGAACTCTTCAACGGCTAATAGTAGATACTTTGAGTTTGGGCTTATTTTGTTTGATTTGACAAGCCTAACACGTTAGAATTCTTACTTGCTACTACTGTCTACACTAAAAAGGGAAAAATAAAAACTTTTTAACAAAAAAATAAAAACCGAATTCAAACAAAAACACTAAAAAGTAAAAAATAACTGATTGGTAGTTTTCATTTACTACACATACCTAATCAGATATTTTCGAGAAATACTCTTTTATTTATGTGACCATTTATATCCCGACCATTAATTTCCCCAGGATATTTATTAAAAGCTAGTAACTGTCACATCCAAAATTTATTTTTTTCTTTATTAATAATAGTTAAATATAAGTATGTATATAGTATAAGTTTGAAGAAAATTAAGCAGTTTAAGAAGGTTTTTTTTTAAGTAACTGTAAAAAATGCCGTGTGCTCAATAGACCTATTATTTATACTAATATTAGAAAGAGGTAATGTTTGTGAGATGTTGTGACGTTTGTTGGGGTAATCTCAGGACCTACTGAACCGATTTAGATGAAATTTGTTAAAAAGATAGTTTGAGACCATGGGAAGGACATAGGATTCTTTTTATCCCGGAAATCATCCCTTAAGGGGGTGAAAGTGGGGATGAAAGTTTGTATTGGCAATCAAGCTAGGGCCGAACCCGAGCGAAGCGAGGGTGAGTCGCTAGTCATATAATATTCTAATTATAAATAACTGTCGGTTACAGCTTGTTTGATTAACATGAAATAAACAACTTACGTGTTATAAGTATTATTAGCGCCGGAAACGTAAGTATGACTTATGCTCGATCTCCTGGGCTCTGGAGTGATCTCTCTCTCTAACTCCAGTCTCTCTCTTTCTCTCTCTTCCCGCAGCCTGTCTCTCTCCTCTTGCTCTCTTCTTTCTCTTTCTGCTTTTTCTTTAGCTTCTTGCTTAATTTTTGCTTGCTGTAACCGAAAATTATTACTTAGTGATAAATGATAAAAATGAATGAAAATATTAATAACAAAAATGATATTTAAAAATTAAACGAATCTATATAAATGAAAATGATTCACCGAAATGTATGTACGCGCATAACTTCCGATCGACTGCACCAAATTGGATAATTCTTTTTTTGTGTTTGTTATTGTCAGGAAGTTTTGTAGATTAAAATATAGATGTTATACTATCGTTACTTGTGAGAAAACTTTGTATTTATAAACAACTAAATTGAGTTAACGCAACTTTGTACAGACTTACCAGCTTTACTTTCCTTTAAGCCAGCCATACTCAACCTTTTTTTTATAGGAGCCACAAACACGTTTCAGTTATGGTGTCGAGGACCGCAAGCAAAAATTATTAAGGTCTTAATGAAAACGTAATTCCAAGTTAACAACGTAGTTACTTTTTTAACAAAGATATGTTATAATGCGATTTTTGATGCTGCCGCATGCGGCTCGCGGGCCGCAGATTGAGTATAGCTGCTTTAAGCTCATATACGCTTTAAAAATGCTCGCCTTATAGGTATATGAGTTTATAACTTACTCGAGTCGTGTATATGATTCATTTTTAATGAAATGAATTTTTAATGAACATTAGACGTAAATTATATTGAGTGATTGTTTGTAGCATATCTATACTAATATTATAAAGAGGAAAGATTTTTTTGTTTGTTTCTTGGTTTGTTTGTACCGAATAGGCTCTGAAACTACTGAACCGATTTAGATGAAATTTGGTATGAAGATAGTTTGAGACCCTGGGAAGGACATAGAAGAGAGTCATATGTTGTTATATACGCTTAACATTCGACACCGACATCACAAAACAAACAAAACTCAACATATCTTCTACAAAAACTCACCTGATCAAGGTATTCCTTATACTGTCTCTGTTGTATTTTCCGCAGGGTATTCCGTCTGCGCTCATACTCGCCCAGACCCAATAGCACGTCGCCTGTCGTACGCTCGCCGCGTATCAGCGGGTTGTTGGGCGAGTACTCCCCCGCTTTTAGCATCACGGGCAGACCTACGTAACGCTAAAATATACACATATATTTGTAAAATATAAGCTATTGACATAACTATATTAACACCTCCAGGTAAATTTCTAAAAAAATAATTCAATTTCTGAGAAATCTATTGTTAACTGTAAAGCCGGCGTGTCCGCGGTCGTGTAGGGATTAATATTTAATGAGTATTCAGCCCTTTTTAACGTCTCACTGCTGGGCACCGGCCTCCCTTTACGGGTCAGGCCATAGTCTACAGTCTGCGGGTTGGGACTCTACATGTCTTTCGAAAACTTGTTAGGTTTTTTTTAGATATGCACGTTTCCTCACGATGTTTTCCTTCTTCTAAGGCCAGTGGTAATCATGTTACAATGATTCGCACATGAAAATATCAGAGGTGCGAAACCCGGGATTTGAACCAGCTTCACTCGGTTTCCCAAGCAACCGTGTTACCACTGAGCTACCACTGTTATATACTAAACTATAGTACGGTTTGCTGCTTAATTACATGTTAACCGTTGAACCGATTTTGGTGAAACTCAGAAGAAAAAAAAGCAATTTTAATGGGAACGAAACCATACGCGGTAACCAACATAATGCTTTAGCATTAGTCGCTGTAGTTGCAAAACTACGTAACAATTTTTATATAAGTATGTAATTAAATTTAAAATTAAAAAAAAAACTGCTTAATATACTTATCGCT